ATAAATTTTAGATTTCAAAGATTGGATTTTATTGTTGGATGAGACGATAAGCTAAGCTATACAAATATGATATTACTAGCTAGTTATTACAAAGATATATAACTCACATGTACATTATGACTAGCTGTCCTGGATTTTTTCTAAAGTAAGCTTTATTATAAAACTATTTTATAAAGTAGACTCGTGGCCAAACTACTTACCAAACTAAGCTTCTAGGGTAAAACGCTGTTTCGGATAGCATTTTATATCCTGATTTTTTTAAAAAAAAAATTCAATGTGTAAAACGCTTTTGGATAACATGAGACAGTGTTTTACATGTTGACTTTTTTTTAAAAAAATCGTAATTTTTGATTTAAAATAAAAAAATAAAAAAATTATTTACACTAAAAAGTCAGCGTTTTTAGTATTTTTTTTTTAAATTCTTAATTTCTGATTTTTTTTAAATCAGAAAATAAGAATTAAAAAAAAGTTTCGAAATTTTTTAGTGTAATTTTCTTAAGTCAGCATTTTTAGTGTATTAAATCAAAAATTTCGAAATTTTAAAATAAAATAAAAAGTCAACATGTAGACAGCGTTTTACGCGTTGAATTTTTTTTTTTTTAAAAACCAGGGTATAAAACGATGTCCAGAAGCTTAGTTTGGTAAATAGTTTGGCCACGAGTCTACTTTACAAAATAGTTTTGTAATAAAACTTACTTTGGAAAAAATTCCAGCTGTCCTACGTTAAATTCTAATATGCTTGTATGTAGCCAAACTCTACTTAAACGTGAGTTTGTGTATGATCTATACAGATTGACAATCAGAGTTACATAAATGGGATCCTTCAATTATATTACGAGAGTGAGCCGGCTATTATTATTTTATCTTATTGAATTGATTATAGTGGCTTTACAAAGAGCATCTTACATTCGAATCAGCCCCCATCTTCTTTAGGTAAATTACAAATTTGTTGTAGTATACTCTGTACTTTCTGTAATATATGAATGAAGTAAAAGTTAAGAAGCAATGGGAAGAATAGAAGGAAAATGCAGTACGCTTAGTTGTTAATCAAGTTTTGAAATCTTTTTAATTATTGATTATCATCATGTGACGCTGAATTGATGAAATGTGTTATCTGACTTTGTTCCAATCCAAAATTATTAAATTATGTTTAAGCATGTGATTAATCACGTGAAAAACAAATAAAAATACCCAAATCTGAATCTTCTTTTCACTACTTTAGACCCAAGACACAGTCCTTAGTTCCTTACTCCTTATTAGTTTGATTAACCAGCTTACGCTTTTTTCAATTTAGATCGGCATACTTACTAATTTGGAAATTTATAACACATCACTTTCAACTAGGGTTGTAATGAGCCAAGCCTGCTCGTGAATTGTTCGAGCTCGGCTCGGTCAAAGCTTGGCTCGACTAGGCTCAACTCGAGTTCGAATTTGGCTTGAGACCAAACAAGACAATACACGATGCTAAGGTCGGCTCGAAAAGCTCGCGAGCGGTTCGAATTGCTTTTTAAAATAAATATTATATGTTTTCTACATTTAAATAAAGTTAATAAGCACAAGAATAGCAACCCACTACTATACTTGGGTAGTTGGGTAAGTTATGTGACATAGGTTGTGTATTTATGGGCCTAAAAGTGTATAGTTTCAAAATCGAGCTTATAACAAGCCTGATTTCGAGCTCGAGCACATAACGAGCTCTAGCCAAGCCACAAGCCAAGCTTTATTTTAGAGCACTCGAGCTCGAGTTGAGCTCAATTTTCAAGGCTCAACAAGCCATGAGCTCGAGCCGAGCCTGCTAGTATTCGGACTCGGCTTAGCGCAGGCTCGGCTCGGCTCATTAACAGTCCTACTGCCAACTTTTTGGATAGTGCAAAAGAAGTACCAATAATGCAAGTCTGGAGTATTTACAACATCCGTTTCATAATGCTCTTAACATATTTTTTTTCCCCTGTTTAATAAGACTCTTAATAACATGTCTACTTTTCCTCATTTATTGCGAACTCTTTATATCACTGGTGTCCTTTTGAGCTCGTTTTGTTGTTTAACAAAGGTTGTGTGTTATCTGCTCTTCTTCTCTTTCACCAAGTTCGATGGAATATATAATACAAATGAAACAATGATGTTTTTTGGTAGCTCTTGATGCATGCTCGAAGCCAAATAATAGTTGGATTTTCAAACCAGAAGTTTCTTGTAAGGAAGCTGGGATATAGTTTTATTTGTAACGCTTGTAACATTGAAGCGGGTAAGGCTTTGTTGGGTAGTTCACCAAACATATTCTATAGTTTGTAATTTTAATTTCGTTTATTAAGCATATGTCAAAAAATAAAAATTATCATACACCCATGTGTACAATGGCATGGTGCACCTAATTAATCAAAATACCAGGTTTATAAAAAAAACGTGGAAAGAACATTGTATACTAATATAAAGTACACAGGCAAAAAAAATTCAAAACGATTCTCTCCTATATTTAAGGGATTGATTTTGTTATATGTATTATTTGATTAAGCAATTGATCTATTATTTACATTATATATTAATAGAAATTTTTGGTGAACATAATTTCATTTTTTTCAGTATAGAATAAAAGATAAATTGATTTTACATAGACAGATACAATGGTAAATTTTGAATTTCGAAGTGATTCAATGTGCAATTATGGAGTTGATATTATAGTTTTGATGAATCATTTAATATAAAGATGTAGTTGAAGAACTCTTTGTTGAGAGATGAGGTACTTTTTAGTTTTTCATGTTTTCCTGTTTTTCTGTTATTTTATGAGGTTGACGATAATGTTCATCAGATTATAATGAATGTTATTTTTATCATATTTTCAATCCATATTTATTTTTTTGATTGAATGAAATATGTTCTTTGAGTATGATTAACAGTTCTCTAGGTCTAAATTATATGTTCTTTACATTATAAATTATGTTTTTTAAGGTACGTAGATTAAAAAATTCTTTCAATGATACGAAGTATGTTCTATTTACTTGAAGAATTGATCTTCTATGTTCAATGTTCGTTTGTTATCAATCTTTAACTATGGGGTATTCATTTTTTTTGTCATTGTGTTCTTTTATATTATCTCTTATATTGTTTAAGGTTCTTGTTCTTTTTATTAAGCTTGTATGTGTTTTAGGAATTACTTTTTTTGAATTTATCTCTTATGCTATTTGATTTTGACCCTTAACATTGAATATTATCATTTATTAATTCTGTATATAATTTTGTATATTAATTATTATCTAATTGTGTATTTTTTCTGGTACAGGATCATGAAGATTGATGTCTATGTTCTTTTGGGAACTCCTCTATTAATAAGCTAAAGAAAATCCGTAATATCAATAAGACATGCTTATATTATGTAATAATGTACATTATTTATATTTACCCAGCATGATCCAAAAACAAAACTTAAAGAACATTTCATATAAGCAATGAACATTATATGAAAATAAAAATACATTATATTTACAATCAAAGAACATTAACATACATTTAAAATAGTTTACTAAAAGATCTAATAAATATCATTATATGATATAATAAATAAAATAATTTTTTCACCATATATCCCTGAGCAATTTACTTATTCATGATATACCCATAAAACTTTTGAAATTCACCATATACCCTTCAGTTACTATACATTGTCATCAAATGCTCTTTTAGCTAACAAACGGCTATGACGGCTAGTTTGGTGTATATAAATGTACCCATGAAACCTCTCCCCTGCCTTCTCAACCTTTCACTTCCAAAACTCCAAAATCCATAAAATCATATCTTCATATTCTAAAACTTCATCTTCATCATATGAAAGTTCGTACATTAGAGTCCAAATAAATCATGTTCTTGTGGACGAAACAACAAAAAATCCTTAAAGGCTATATTACAAATGTGATAGTTGTGACATTTTTAAATGGTGTAAGGAATTGCAGAGCATGATGTTGTTGGATATGAAGAATGCCAAAGAAAGGTAAGCATTGAAGACAAGAAAATGCAGGGGACAAAAAGGTGAAGCAAGAATTGAAGATATTAAAGAAGAAAATGGAACAGCAACAGAGAGATTAGTGGGTGCAGCTATAAAAATAGGGCTTGTGATGTTTGTAATATTTGTTTTTGCAACATTCAAATGATTTTTGGTCACTTAATGTAATGTAAACAAAATATTATTTGCAAAAATATATATTGCCTTTTAAATACATGCAACATATATAATTGTCATTATTCTGTTAAAAAATAGCACCTACAATCATAAGGCTGTACAAAAATAACACCAACTGGCAGAATTTTTGCAAAAAATTGATCAGCCACCTGCCAATTCTTTGCAAATAAAAATCAGGTGCATAACTGTCTAAATCCATCTCCAATAGTGACTACACTATGAAGCCTGATTTAAGCTCCTAGTGTTTCTTCCCTTTAGGGGTGGTTGCTGAGAAGTGCTTGCATCAGCAGCCTTTCTTTTCTTCCCTCTGCCTTAAGCTTGGCCAGCAGAAGAACCTCCAGCTTGAGTTTTGTTTTTTTTTTGCATGTTGTGATATTGTGTCCCAACTCCTTGTAGATGCTGCATTTGTTGTTCTTATGCCTCTTTCCTTTTCTTGCTTCATTTGGCCCCTTCTTCTCTGTTTGGGTGGTCTGCTTGCACTTCTCTTTACAATAGGTGGGTTGATTTGAGGGACATTGAATGAATATGTGAAGCATAAGTAGCCTTATAAGTTGCCCCCTTGTAGTACGCAGAAACAAAGGTGGAAGCTTCCAATCTTTGGTTGTATATGACCCTCAAACCATGTTTGCAAAGTATGGTTGTTGAGGCAAATATTGTTCTTTGCCAACAAGTCAAATACCCTATCTTGTTTTAGAGTATTAGGGGGCTGCCCTCAAGTTATTGGTTTCAAAATATTCATAACCTCGCTACCATAACAAAAACAACCAATAAGAAAATTTCCCAAAGAAATTAAACAAGTTTGATTGCTTAAAGAAACGAGTAGATAAACATATGACAAAAGATACAAATGTTCTCCATTAATTAAAGGATAAAGCCAGGTCCATAATTGTACAAGTTGAAGGAAGGTTACCTCTATGTTCAAGAAAAGATATCGATCTTCAATACATGTTATGGAAAACTACGTTATCGTTTGGCTACCAAGCCAAGGGAAAACTAAGACAGTTAAAAAGAAAGCTTAAGGAATATGAAATGCTTGTTGATAGATTTGCTGATGTCCTTCAAACGGGCCCCCTGCCTCTATTTATATACAAATTAGAACGGTTATAGCTGACTCCCATAATTGTTTTGTAGTTATTCTTCTTGGCGCCTAACTCTCTTTAAAAAATCAAATTGTCTACTATGCCTCCAAACCGGTCCTTTCTTCATATTGGGCCTTTGACTAACTCCAGCCATCTTTAATTGTTATCATCGACTGACCCAAAACCTTTTACAGACTCTAAAGTCCATTCGACTCGGTCAAATTGGTCAAAGTCAAGGAAAAGTCAAGAAAAGTCAAAAATATAATTTTTGGGTGTAACAATGGTATACCAGATCCCTACACTTGCCTCAACCACAAATCATAGTACTTAGTGTGACAGGGAATTTAACATGCTCATCTTTCACTTCAAACTCCCCACCTCCACATGCAATTACAAGACAAAATCTAGAATCATCACTCCTAGTCTTCAAAATGTGTTGTGCATGCTTAGCTAGTTCATTAGGGTCCATGTCAATAGCCTTGTCAAATCTTGATCCCACCCTTTTCATGTCCATGATCTCACAGCTAATGAATGCAACATGCCAAAAATAAACATATAATCAGCCTACAGTTAAAGTAATATGTATAGTGCTATTGAATAAGCGGTGGGAATTATGATTACCTTCTAATAATGTCAGGACAAGTTTGTTGTATTATGATCACATCAAACTTTGTTGTCAAATTTGTGCCTGCATTATGCTCTTTGATTTTTGACATAGTGTGTCAAACACATAATCATTGTAAGCATTAACTGCAATCCGGAACGACTTGTGAAATGTTGTTCTACTCCAACCTGTATTCTTGCAATTGGAGTACATATGCTGGCAGCAAACCCTTCTTGTAGCTCTAGGAAAGACCTCATACAATGCTGATTCAACTCCCTGCAGAACCTGATAAAACACATAGTTAAAGGCATACAGTTTGAATTGAATCAAGTTGTAATGAACTATCAAGTTGTAATTCTTACCTTCATTCTATCAATTATGAATGTCTAATCATCCTTCTTGCAGCTCTCATTTGCAAACAATATCCTTAAATTTCTAAAAAAAAATAGCTCCAACTGTCTATGCTTTCAGTATCCACAATACCATATGCAATTACAAAAATTTCATTATTGCCATCAATGCCAACAGTAGTCAACATTATACCCTCGTAATAACCACTTAGACGTGCACCATCTATCCTAATGATAGGCCTACATCATTCCAAAACCCTTTGACAAAAGCAACAAATGAGAAGAAACAGGCTTTGAACTGAAGAACTTGATTTGTCCATGTTCCAGGGTTTGTAGCCTTAATCATCTTAGCATAACTTGGGAACAAACCATATGACTCCACCATGTATCTGTTCCCTAGTTATTCTCTTAACCTTGTAAAATAACCTTGGCTTCACATTTATCCTATACCTCTCCGTCTCCATACATTGCTTTTGCAAAAGGTGCCTGCATAATCACTCTGAAGACACCATGGGATTTTCTTCTAGTCTGCCACAAGTGCTGTGTTGACCAGGTAATGCCTTGATAGCCCAGCTGACATTGTCTTTTAACATAGTTGCATGTATCTTCCAATTGCATGACTACTCCACTACACAACTGGTTGTATACCTCTCACTATCAGCTCTTTCTACAGTCACAGCCAGGGCCGTCTTAATCATTTTGGGGGCCCTGTTCTAAACTTTGAAATTGGGCCCTAATAAAAAAAATGCCGAAATTATCTCTATGACTATATATTATAATATTATAACAACATTTTTAAACGAAACACATACTCAAACTACTATATATTATAATATCATCCACATTTTTATTATCAGAGGCAGGCACATTAACATCAACACTTTGATTATCCGAATTAATATTTTCATTAACAGCCATTTTTTCAAAAATTTCAGCATTAACATCAACAACATTTGGATTTTCATCTACAATTTGCGGTTCTTTTAATAAAAATTTGTCAAGAGCCCCGCTTTGAGATTGAGTTAACTCTTCCAATTTTTTCTTTTTCATACGTTTATCATAACCGGACAGATACTTTCTTTTAGGAGGCATAATTAAAATCTAAAAATAAAATAAAAATTGCAATAATATGTAGTAATTAAACAAATAGTCAAACAATTAACAAAATTACAAAAAACAACAAATTATGCAATTTAATCTAATAAATAAAAATGCAAAAAATAGAAAAGGATTGAAACAACCTGGCTTGCGGCAACTCTTTTAAATGGGCCGTCTTTGAATGACCTCTATAATTGATTAATTGCGCCTTGCCGGAACTCCATGAGGGACCATGACAATTGACAATTTGCCTCTTTCCTTTGCTCTTCTTGAGTTCTTGTTAACTACTTAACCACTTAACCCTTATACCCAATTTATTATTATCACTATAAAATTTAATTTTTTTTTAATTCTCAAATCTGAAAAAGATAGGAGATTGAAACAAAATTTATAGAGGGCAAAAAAATTAGTTGTTTGATAAACTAAAATTAAGGGGTTTAATTGTGGAAAAAACGAACTTAATTTCCCCATTGAAATCAATTTCTTCATACCCGTTGTAGTTGATAGAAGGTATAACATTTAATTTGGAAAATTTAAAATTTGGGGGAAAAACAAAAAATTAAATGAGAAAGTAGGAAAATTTTAGAGGAAGATTGAAGATTAGAAAGTAATAAAGTATTTAAGGAATTTAAGGAAAATTTTAGAGGAAGATTGAAGATTAGAAACTATTGCACTTCTTGGAATTGCAAGATTAATGGGATGAGGGAAAGTAATTATTAGGAGGCATCTTGGAAGGTGAGAGTTTTAAGGAAATACTGGCAAAACAAGAAAGTAATACGGTGTGACAGGTAAATGAAATATGAAAATTTTTACAAATTTGTATTATTAGAGATGCGGAATTAATGGAGTAATTAGAGGAATTACAAACTTGGGAACATAAATGAAGGGAGCATGAATCTAGACTGTTTTGTTGTGAAAACCAGAGCATTAATGGAGTTGTTTGACGGCAAAGAGATAGGCGGAGAAAGAGATAGAATTTTATTATTTTTTTAATATGGGCTCCGAAATTTTGGGCCCTTAAAATTTCGGGGGCCCTGTGCCTGGTCACAGCAAAGCCCTCTTGAATGTAGAAATCTCTAAACACTTGTAGAAACTCGATTTTGTTCTCAATAATCAACCATTTCTCTAATGCATCAGACCCAAGTGGTGAGTGGCTCCAGATTTTACCATTGTTGTACAACTTATCAAACTTATGACTCCCATCCAAATAATCTTCAAAATTTTTTCTCCTACACATCATCATACTCTACAAAATCCTCTTCTTCAATAAAATCAAGATCACTTACACAATCATCATCTTCATCTACATCAGACTGCTCATAATCTTCATCATCACTGTCATCATTTTCAGTGAAATCATCATCACCATCATCTTCCCTAACTTCTACTCCCTCCGTCCCTTTATATTTGCCCCATTATCATTTTTGGGGTCAAACTTTGAAACCTTTGACCATAAAATACCGTTAATCTATAAAAGAAAATTTAGGCCGCGTTAAATTCGTCTATATTTTATTAATATGACGTTTTTGTAACTTTTACGTGTATGGAAATAAAGATATAGACGTTTTAATAGACGTCTTGGAGACCGTGCACAGTCAAATGGGGCAAAAAAATAGGGACAGAGGGAGTACATGCCTTCTCACCCTTTCACTTCCCTGTTTACTCCCTGCTTGACCCTTTTTAATGTAGGTGCCCTTCTTTATGGTTGTACTTTTTGGAACTCTCCACTCTTTAAGCTTCTCCCTAGTAGTTCTTTTAGGTTGAGCAGATGAACTACTAGGCTACCTAGTTGGTGGTGTAGGCTGTCTAGGTGGAGATGGTGGTGGTGTAGGGTGTGTAGGGGGAGATAGTGGTGGTGTGGGGTGTGTAGGTGGAAATGGTGGTGGTGAGGCCTCTCTTGGTGGACATGTTGGTGGTGTGGGGTCTCTTGGTGGAGATGGTGGTGGTGTAGGCTGCTTGTTTGGGTTGTTTGTTGATGGTTGATGTGGTGGTGTTGCTGGTGGAGAAGGGTCATGAATTGGTGTTTGTTGTGGTGTTGCTGATTTTTCCCTTTAGGGAGTTATTTTTTTTCCTCCTAACAATTTTTTTTATTTTGTTTTGGTGTCTGCTTTGGTTCATTTGAGGACTGTAAAGCTTGATTTGGTGGAGGTGAATGGGGTTAATGTGGTGGTGATTGATTTTAGGAAGGCTCAGGCTGTAAATGTCTTGGAAAAACCTCATCAACTACATCAGTGTTAAATACCCTTACATATTATTCAACCCCTAAATCTTCTGCATTCAAAATTGGAACCTCAACTGTTATAGTAAATGGCACTTGTTCTCTAAGCTGCTCCTTAGCTTCTGCTTGATCTACCTTCCTCCTATTCTCTTCCTCCTTTAACCTAATCTCCTCAACCTAATCCTTTAACCTTTTTGCCCAACTAGCTTCAGCAAACTGAAAGACAAGAGAGGTGGTGTAACAGGTTACCTTCCTAACTTTCCTATCATGTTGCCTCTAGTAGTCCCAACCGGTTTACAACCATTATTACAGGTTATCAAGACACGTGTCAACACGTGACTAGTCCAGAAAAAACTTTAAAAAATTGAAAAAAATTAAAAATGACAACCACCCTTTCCCACTTAGCCACCCCCCTCCACCCACGTGCAAGCTGACCCCGGCCCTTGCCCCCCGGCGCCCAAACCCCCCTCTCCCTTCCCCTAACCATTGCAACCCTCCTTGTAACCCCTCCCTCATTCAAAAAACCCCATATAACTCCTCTCCGACGGCCGGAAACACAAAACCACCCCTCTCATCACCCTTGAAACCCTAGCGGCTAGGGTTTCGGGGGTGGGGGAGGGGTAGTTGGGTGTTTCCGTTCGTCAGAGATGAGATATATGGGGTTTGTCCCTTTTCATGGTTACCTTAAATATTCCATATGTGAATGATTTACAAGTTCCTTACAAATGTGTTACCAATGCCTTGTTTTTTTTGTCTCTATCATATATTAGTCAATTCCTAATTCCTATGATTGTCGAGCATATTCTCACACGTTAAGATAGACCCAATTCAAACGACACCTATCAATCAATTACATAATACTAAAACAGACACCAAGAATGACACGTGTCACTGGTGCTATCATTTCCCTCCCAAAAACACTTCCAATAAAATAAAATAAAATATTCAGTACAACAGAAATTACATTTTATAGCGGTTCAATTTTCTTTTTATAGCGGTTTTTGGGCCGCTATTAATGGCTCTGCCGTAAAATGAAAATGACACTTTCAATAGCTGTTCATAAAACTGCTATAAAATGTACTTTTAGGATGCAGTTCAAAGTTTGCAATTACAGCAAATTAGAACCGCTATAAAATGTTGTTCACCGCCAACTTTTTTAATAGTGATTTAATTATTTTCTAAAAAATAAATAATTTCATTATTGCTTAAAATAAACACACTTAATAAAATACAGTAAATTAAGTTATAAATAGTTTGCTAAAATTGAATTTTTTTTCATTAATCTCCAAACTCCAACAAAAAAAGTTTTAGTCACAAATTAAAATTAGTAGATGCGTAAGTAGAATAGAAATTGAAACTACAAGCTATGCTATAACAACATCTCATATCTAAAACACCATCAATCTGTCCACTATAACCCACACCGTCATTTAACTATTCAGCACCTATACTCACCAAAAATATACATTTTCCATCTTGAAATTCCAATTCAAATTCACTAACCTTTGAAAAGACAAGATGTAATGCAGCACTTTTGTCGAGCAAGGAACAACGCAAGCCACAACTGCCAATATGGCTAAAAAGAGAGCAAAACATAAAGGTCTTAGCTAACATTATGCCGAAGTACACTTCTATACTTAACTCAAATAAAAGGAAAAAAAAAAGAAACATTAACTTTTATAGGACATTAATTCTGATTACTTGTATAGAACAATGTTTGAATTTTATTTCAACTCACAAGAAATGTTTTCAAACCAGACAGCATAATATAAAAACATGTCTAAAGATACAAACTTTAACACAAATAAAAGATTAGTCACAAGCATCCAATTCCACCTTATCGTTCAAAACCATCCAAAATAAAGTTTAAGCGAAATAGAAATTAAGAATTACCAGGAAAAGGACAATTTTTGCATCTGAAAAGATTACCTCATCAAGTTCCTTGTCAAAAAGTTTGGCAATAGCTGCACAAATACTCAATTAATGAGTAAGAAATATTGGGATAATACAAGAAATTGTTTAAATTGCAAGTCCACAAGCTGAAGATACCTCCAAAATCCCATTTATAAGATGTGGCATTTGAATGAAGGAACTTGGGATGAACATGCATAAAGTTATTGATTTCTGCAAAATATAGTATAGACATTTTCGCAAAATTTACCACATTTTAACTTCAGATAGAGTTGATGAAAACATGATTAGACTAAGATAATTTCTTATTTTATACGCCGAAGCACTTATATAAACAGCTTTATATTGTAACTTTAATCTAAAACAAAACCACACAAACAAGAACAAGTAAATCATATCATCACTACTACATCGTACCAGCAAACAGGCTGCCATCTCAGCAGAAGCAACCAGTACGGCAAAGTGGCAGCAACTCAAGACAACAGGGTATCAGAATCAGAGTTCCGCAACAACAACTTTATAAAGCAGCAGCAATACACCAAGACACCAACAAAGAGAGCTAGAGGTCAGGGCAACAGGGACATAGCATCATCCATCAACAAGCCAAAGAAATTAAACCCTAACCCTAAAAACCCCAAAAAAATCAACAAATTTTAGATCTTTCACAATAAAATTATGAAAACCAAACTCATTATATCCATCCAATTTAATTGGTTGAAAAACAGACTATATATATACCATTTCCCACTTAAATATAATCATCGAATGTGAAATCTAGTAGTATATATAACAAATACAACAATAACAACATATAAAATTCGAAGAATAACAAAGACGAAATTCGAATTTTGACTTATTTACTCCCTAGTTCATAATATCCAAACATAATCCCCCATTTTCCTGGTAACACCTCACATTCAAAATTCAAATCCAATATCCATACAAAACCATTCTCTACAATTTCTTCTTGTAGATGCATTTTTCATGATTCACTACATACTCACAATTCTTTCAATTAAACCAAAATAACCCACATTTGATCAAACAATTAAGAACACAAATTATAAAAATAGCATAAAAAGGATCCAATTCCAAAAAAAATCAAAAAAATACAAAGTAAATAGATGAACCTGCATAGACTTGGGACCATATCGAAAGAGAACACTACGAACGGAGATGAAAGAAAGGGCGGTTACAGAGTTCAAATCCTTGTTAGAGCGGCCACGAACGATGCTGGAGAACCATGAGGAAGAGGTGGATGACGTTTATTGGTGGTCGGCGGCTAGCCTGGACAGGGAGAGCACGCACGGTGGTCGGCATCTAGAACGAGGAAGGTCGCCGTTCAAAGGATTTTGAGGAAGCGGTGGTTTCTAAGTAGAATAGGACGAAATCGAAAGAGTGGGATTTCCTTATACGGAGTACTAGTAGTTCTAGTACAGTAATTTTTAACAGCCTTTTACAGCGGTTTACAAGTAAATAAACACTATAATTATGACAAATATTACAGTGTTTTGTTTTATAATCTCTATAATAAGCTAAATTTCATACCTTTTATAGCGGAAGTGATAAAACCGCTATATAAATAACGCTATAAAATGTAAATTATGTTGTACTGTTTCTTTATTTTCTTTCTATATATGTTCTTATTCATTGATAATATCTATAAATAATAAATAAATTTATAATAGCAAGTACAGAATCAACATTAGTGTATAAATAATGTTACATTATATTGAAAAAATCAATTTACAACAAATTAAAAGATGTAATTGATCTGATGTATTTTGTAAAAAAGTTAAATAACATAACGATTGATTTGTAGAAATAAATATATTTTCAAGAGACATATATATTTAGGTTGTATAAAGAGTTGAATAGTTGATTTACATTACATTATCAAAGCATTAATGCATGTCTCATGTGAGTCATGTCTGTTTCTTGTGATGATCCATTGGACCACCCTATTTGTGATGATGATAATGAACCACAAATTAAGCACTAACTAGTGAGTAGCCCGAGTTGCCCCGGGTTGCTATTTTTGTAATCGTGTAATTGGGGTATCTTTTTTCAAGGATTTTGAAATCTGAAATCGCTATTATTGAATGTGTTCTTTTTAAATAATTAAATCATGTTGTTTACACTTATCTACATTTCTTTTTCATATTAATAACATGCTTGATAATGGGCTAAGATGGTTAAATACCTAACACTATTACAAGTGGTTGGGTGTTCGAATCCCCTTAACCTTATATTTTTATATGGGTGACGTGGCGTAATGATTAAGCTTAATTCAATGATGATGTGGCATAAAGAGATGTTGAGTAGGTGATGTGGCGTCATAAAGTATTTATGAAGTGACGTGGCGTAATTTAAACCACGTGGCACATGGACGTTTTTATAAACGTCTTTTAATATATTAGTATAGATATGAGTGATGCTAAAAACAAGTTAACAACTATAATTTCCTTGCAAATAAAAATGGTGACTAGTACATGATTCCATGCTTAAGCTTGGGTTGAAAAAGTTATTAGTCAATTATGAATTTAGGATCATTGAGTCACAATTAAACTGTCTAAATTAATTATCTTATCAGCTATGAAGCACGATAAAAATAGTAATACTAATAGTATTCTTTTCTCAATTTGAAATTATTAACCTGAAACTTATTTTTATGAGGTGAAAAGAACGCAACCTTATAACCTGTATCTTAGTTTTATATGATGAATTTATTTAACAGAAAATAAATACTTAGAAATAAGTGAAATAAGGTAAATATAGTAAAAGTCTTAGCTCGTTATTTAATTAAGGGTACACAAGAACTTATAAATAAAGTCATACGAAGTAAAAGATAACATACAAATGGATCATACATCCAAATTTTAAAACTACATACCCCTTCAATATTACTAGCCAACTAATAAAAAACATAATTAATTAACTTTGAGTTGAGCAACGACATCCACCATTGAAGACCTAAGGTGGCAAATTACCTCTAAAGGCTTTTCCTCAGGACAAATATTGGCACCACTTTTCATTGTGAAGTCTACTACTCCATCCTCGGGAGTTTCCCAATCAAAACACTGTATAAGTGTAGCCAAAAGCAAAGTGATGTTCCTAGTGGCAAAGGCGCTTCCGGGGCAAGACCTCCTCCCAATTCCAAACGGAAAAAACTTGTACCCTTTAGTCTCATTTGCAAACCTCTCCGGCTTAAACTTGTTCGGCTCGTCCCATAAGCTAGGGTCTCTTTGTATTGCCCAAGCATTGACATAGAGCATAGTGCCTTTTTGTACATGAAACCCTCCAATAGTGCAGTCTTTGGATGAGCAATGTGGGAATAGCAGTGGTGCTGGCGAGAAAAGTCTTAAAGTCTCATTGACTATCCAACGTATATAACTCAATTTTGGTACATCGGATTCGTCTACGAGTCTTCTGTTGCCAATGATTAGATTAATTTCTTCCCTTGCTTTCACGATAATTTCGGGGTTATTTATTAGGTTTGACATTGCCCACTCCACTGTGGAAATTGTAGTATCTGTTCCTGCTAACAGTTGCATCTGATATATAGATAATCACATTTATTATAACACTTCATCCATTTATTATAATAAAAAGAAACTCTATTAATTCCTACTTTTTATTATTTTCTAGTATGACATTACCACATTATTAATATTAACGTTACAAGTATGAGATAAAAATTTGTCAATAGAATAAAGTTCACTATGCCGGTCCAAGAAGATTTTATCACAAAACCATGTGACAACAAAATAAGTACCTTCTAAGTCGTATATGTGGGACACTTACATTTGTTGTTTGAGAAGTCTATACTTCAACAAATATTAAAACCCCCCATTGCATTATTGATGCTACATTAGTGCATCTCTGTTTCTTGTTATGAACCATTAGTCATCCTTACTTGTGAGATGATGATTGATGACTAAAAACAGCAACAATAGCCGAATCTTGTCCTTACAAATAAATATTGCATTTACTACATTTTTCATAAAAATTGTGGCAAATTAGAATAAAATCTTTTCTTACTTTGTTTTATCCTAAAAATATTCTAGTATGTTATGGAGTTTCTAGTTTCCTAGAGAATATATGATATTATTATTCTATTTATTTCCATTTTCTTATTTGCCACTTCATTATTTCTATTCTCTACTAAAGATGTCAATCTTAAATGGATATTCGCTAACCAATCTACCCGGTTTAAATAAATGAACGAAAATACAAATTAAATGGATGAGAAGCAGGTGATGGATGAAGCGGATGATGGATGTGGATGCTACTTTATTCCACCCGTTAACAATCCACCTACAGTTTTAACGTATATTAAATATTTTATCTAAGAATTTTAATAGAAAAATATGCAAGAAAATTACTTTTTTTTGTTGCAAATTAATTTTTTCAAACAATATAAATGAACGAAAATACAAATTAAATGGATGAGAAGCAGGTGATGGATGAAGCGGATGATGGATGTGGATGCTACTTTATTCCACCCGTTAACAATCCACCTACAGTTTTAACGTATATTAAATATTTTATCTAAGAATTTTAATAGAAAAATATGCAAGAAAATTACTTTTTTTTTTGTTGCAAATTAATTTTTTCAAACAATATATTGTGTCCTTTTTTATTAATAAAATAGAGTAAAAAACTATTGTATAAATAACCATAAACAAAGTTTATGTGAATTTTTTTCACTTTAAATATTCATCCATTAGGCACCTGATCCGCTCGTTTTATCTACGGATGACGGACGAACAGATATGAATGATGGGTGAAATAGGTGATGGATGGATATTGATGTAGCGATTGGAATAATGGATGGATGTGGGTGAAGCTTTACCCGATCCAAATCTGATCCATTGTCATCTCTATTCTCCACATCATTTGCCACATTAAATTTGTAACAAATTTTTTTTTATCACACATTGTGTTCTTAAAAATTTTTCGTTAAATCTAAGCTACAAAATTTTTTATAATAATTCCCGTTTTATTAATTATTTATTAATTATGAACCTTCCTTTGATTATATGTTATAATTTGTATATGTAAGCATAAATATATATTTAGATGATTTTTTGTAAGATAAGATCTTATATGACCAAACCATTTAGGCAATCTAATTATTCTTGCAATAAGCATATTTCAAATTAAATAATTAGAATTGAACATAACCTTATTTTATAGTTTCCAAAAATAATATTACGAAGTATTAATTTATAATTTAAACTAATACACAATTAATGACACGATAGTAATCAAATTTATGCATTGACATGTACTAAGGTCAAATTATCACAATTAATTAAAATTTTAAGGAATTAACATGTAATTCTCGAGGGAAAAGAGAGTAATCTTACCAAAATGAAACTTTTGATGAATTCATCAGTGTAGCAATCAGGTTCAACTTCCTGCAAGTCTAGTAATTCTTCAATCAAATTTTTTGTCACAACTTCCTCATCACAAGATGATCTTCTTTTAATACTTTCTTTACACTCATCAAGCAAATTTTGTAAATATTCATCTCTCTTCTTCCAAAGCTTTTTCAAATTTTTCTCAATCCCTCTAAAACGTACCCACCTCAAGATGGGAAAGAAGTCACACATTGTCATGGGACTAGGGGGTATCAAATCCATGTCATCCCATGGCTTCTCATTTATTGTCCTCATCACAAAGTTATGCGCCACCTTTTTCAAAACATTATTTAAGTTCACTTTTCGATCCGCACCCTCAAACTCGATCTGAAGCTCTAAGATTATGTTATGGATCTGAGCTTTTCGAGTGGGGCTTCCTTCATTAAGCTTACGAAAGGAAAACATAGTTAAGACCCCAACACGTCGGAGAACCCTCCAAAGGTCTCCATATGTGGACCATATGAGAATCGAGTAGTTGTATCCTAAAATCTCACCAACAATGGACTTAGGTTGATAAGCAAATACATTGTCGTTTTGGTTGAGACATTCCTCAACGGCCAATGGAGAAGAGACAACCAAAACGGGCTGACATCCCAAACGAAGGGAGAAAATTGGGCCATAGCGCTCGGAAAGGGTTAGCAATGTTTTGGGAAAAGGGGACTTGAGTAGGTGTAGGTGGCCCCATATAGGAATTGATGGTGGACTAGGTGGGACGTTCTTGTTCTCTGCTTTAGATGGTAGAAGGATTTTATAAAGAAAGATTGTGATTGCAAAAAGAGATAAAAATAAGTACACTTTCTCCATTTTCATGGGTTTTTGTTCTATGAATGTAGGTGCTTGCGATAAGGATATTGTTACATTTTAAAGTGGAGAGAGTATATATAGTCAAAAAGGCCTAAGTTCACGATTTCAGGCAATAAAAAAATTCCATGGTCTTATGTGGTGGTCAAAGATGATGACAATGCATGTGAGACATGTGGGCTTGTAGCAGGTAAGGAAATTAAAATAAAATAAAACAATATTTATTAGGAAATTAAAGATTCATAACATAAAATAAAGATATTTAAACGTAAGGAAATAAAAATAAAACAATATTTATTATGAAATTAAATATTCTTAACATATAAGGAAGATATTTAAACTTTAGAAAAAGGGGTAAGATGAGATTATATCCTAATTTGATTATTTTTTTCATGTAGTAAATATTATTAAGGAAACACAAAATTGACAATCTTAATTCCCTTTAATTGATAAACATTTAATTTTTTTGAATGGAAGTATTTAGAAAAATTTTCCAATTACAATCAGTAAAAGTACACATTTTGCGAGTTATAACCATCAAAGTTTATTTTTGCAAATTACAACCAAAAAGTCACCCAACACTTTAAACTACAACCAAAATTCGATTTTCGGCCACTTTCACCGGAATATGACTTCATTATCTTTTTTCTTTGAACAAAATATGACTTCATTATATCAATAAATGATTCCAAACTAGTATTGACTATTGGTTGGGGGTTATTTTTTATATCAATTAATGATTAATGATGTTATATTCCCATTAAAGTGGCTGAAAATCAGATTTTAATTGGTTGTAAGTTAAATATTTTGTTTTTTTTTTTTTGAAAAAGGTTAAATCAAATAAAAAAACTAATACACATTACTATTAAAGCAAATGAAATGGACGACAACATCTCTTGCAATTTGGTGAGCTCTGTGAACACATTGCCTATCTGCCTTGTAAATACTGCAGTGTTGAAAAGTGGACCCTAAAAGTTGTATCTGCTGCACCAACCATAAATAATGGATATCCCCATGGCCATTGCCCCGCAGAAGAGTGACCAGATTTTAAGAATCCCCCGTAAATATTATAAGCGATTGAATGTTAGTATTTGAAGCCCATTGTAATCCATAAAAACAGGCTAAGGCTTTCTTATGAAAAGGTGAAAATTACTCCCACCAATAATCCTCTCGTCCAAAGGATCTGTATTGTCGAGACACCAACCCATTCCTGCTCGGCTTGTGTCTTTGAACCACGATTCGTCGATCTTAATCTTAACCAAGTTCGAGCCTATATGATTTTTCCCTAAATGGGCTACATAAATCCCAAGCGGGGGGCAAACCAACGAGAATAGTAGAAGATGGAGAAGATTTCATACCTGCGTCCTCAGCCATTAAGATAGTATGAGAATGTAGGATATCCAAAATTTGCAATCCAATTAGTGTTGTAATAGGTGTATTAGATGTGAACACCCTGGTATTCCTGAATAACCAAAGACCCCAAAGAGTACCAATGAAGGTGCTAATTCTAGGACTCGAAATCTCGTCCGGACTAATGAAATGTCGGATATAATCTTGGATCCAATCTGAGAGAGAAAGGTGTCCATGTAATTCTGAGTGGATGCTCAAATGCCACCCTTCATGCTACTCTTGCAATATTGAAATACCTAAACAGATGGTTAAAATCTCTTAACTGCGTACTACAACGATCACAGGACATATCCTGCATTAGAACTAAGGATGGAAACGGGTCGGATCTGGAACGAATCCGACTGGATCTAGATCTAGATACGTTTTTGCACCCTGGATGCAGATCCGATCCAATCCAGATCTATCGGGTATGGAGGAGGATCCATATCCATATCTATTGGATCCCACATATCCGAGTCTGAAGTAGGTCCAAAACGAATCTTGCACATTGAACTTATTTTTTGAACAAAATACTCTAGATTTCAATTAAAACAACAGTTTAACTAATTTTCATCAACATTTACAATCAATTTCAGTAGCTTTTTAAAGCTAAGATCATTAAGACAATATAACCACAATTTACAATTAACTAAAATGACAAAACAAAAATTGATAAAACTAAACAAAAAGTAAAACTGTAAAATCTAAAACAAGCAAGCTTGTGAAGAAATGAACAAATTAGTAACAAACATATAAATCCACTCATCTATATACTAACAAATTAGTAAGCATAATAAAACCAAACTTCCATACTTATAGTAAAGAATCTAAATTCTAAAGATTAAGTAAGCGACTGGAGTGTTGGAATCACGGTCACCGGAGAGGGTGAGTCGCTGGAGTTGTTTGTGGTGGAGCTGCTGGAGCTACTTGCGGTGGAGTTGCTGGAGTTTAGAACTGCCTTTTGGGAGAGGGGAGAGAGAATCTGATAGGTGTGTGAGATTTTAGGGTTTGGGGGGTTTGGTAGAGTTAGAATCAGAGTTAGATTTTTAATATCATTTGGGCTGGGCTTGTAGAGTTGTAGTTTAAAAATATATTTTAAAAAAATGGGTAAACGGATCTGGAAATGCGTATTTGGGTCTGACCGGCTAACCCTTATCCAGATCTGTTTTTTAGTACAGGATCTGTATCTGACCCGGATCCGTCGGGTCCAATTTTACAAGATCTATATCCGTGAAAAACATATATGGATCCACAAATCCGGGTCGGATACGGATGCATTGCCACCCCTAATTAGAACCCCTCTGCAATGAAGTTTACCTTTAATCGCTAAGCTGTTATGGAATAACTTTCATAAGAATAGTTTCCACTTTGGTTGTAAATGTAGGGACCAAAGGATTTTCCAAAAAGGATTAAAATTTTTAGCAGTAAGTGATTGCATGAGCAGTGTATAACCCGTCTTGACTAAATAATTTCCCGAAGTTGTCCGCGCCTAAAACTGAAAGTTAGCCTCATGTATAGCAAGACATTCCATAGAAAAGGCTGTGGAAAAGTCTGTGGATTGAAAACACTATTGTACTTTGTTAACATCTCAAGTGAGAGTTTGCGGATGAACAAAGAATTTACAGTTCAATCCTTCGCATTGTCTAGGAGGATTCTTGGTTTAAAATCAGGAGTAGTACTCTTGACCTAATTAGAGTTCCTTGCAAGCTAAATATGAATTTTCCATTACCAACTTTCCCGCTACACCCCGTTGACAGAATGTCATATGCGCAAAGTAGTCCATGAAGGCCATAGCATTTTTAACTCGAGTAGCGTCGAGCATGATGTGGCGTAGGAGATAAGAATTGAGCTCGAGCAGTAAAGATTTTGGAAATAAGCAGCTGAGGGTTGTTTACAATTCTCCAAACTTGCTTCATAAGAAGATCTTTATTTAGAGTCGAGATACACAGAATTCCTAATCCACCCATACCCTGAGGTAGATGAATTTTCCCTTTATTAACCCAATGCATACCATGACTTCCCGAATGTGACCAAAAAAAATTCAATAATAAGGCATCAATTTTTTCAGCTATTGAGATTGGGATTTCAAATCAATAAAGAAGATCAGAAGCCATAGTTACCAGAATTGAGTTGATGAAAAATTAACTTTTGTGATTGAGAAATCCGGACAACATTGAGCGTCATTGTGCAACTAACAATTTTGTCGACAAGAAACTAGAAGTAGTCTTTTCTCTTCCCCATAAAATCAATAGGGGACCCATATGATAATCAAACACTTGAACGTGTTTCATTTAGAAAATCGCCTTAAATTCGTGGCTATATGGTTACAAACCACGAATGAAGGATCGGTGATGATGGTATGAAGTTGAGTCATGGAAGTTAACTTTTCCCATATTGAATTGACCTCTACTCGATTCTTGTAGTGAAAAGTATTTCTTGCGATTCCAAAGGTATACAAGGAAAGATTGAGTTTGCTCCAAACTAGATTATGATAAATTGAATTGGTTGAAAAATAATGTTGTTAGTTGAGACGAACTACTACAAGAGCGGGGGTGAATTGTAGTGAGTTCCTAGTGACTACTTTTTTACGGAATAATAAAACAAAATATAATAGGAACTTGCAATGCACACAAGATTTTACGAGGAAACCTTCCAAGGCCCAACTGGAAGTAAAACCTCGACCCTCCAAGAGATTTCAACCAAACCAATCCACTATAATAAGGCAACACACCTAGTTACAACCTATTACTCACAGACCTTTACTCACAAGTTTTAGACTAAACTTGCTACACAGTAGAACCCTATTCTACCCAACTTAAGTCCTTGACTTAAGTTCACGCGGCACTCCCAGAGTACTAACAACTCAACTTCACCCTTGAAGCCTACAAACTGTATGCAATATGCTAAATACTCACCCAATACCCAAAACAACACAAACGCTTGACTCTAATATGTGATTGGAAAGCTACACATGAAATCCGAAACTAATATGACAAAGCTATGAACATGGCAAACTTACACTTAAGCACTCTTCTTCACGCATAAACTCACAAGTAATTTCAATTATGATCTCTTGTTTATATACAAGAAACTCTCGTATGTAAAGTAGGGTTTTCAAAAGATAGAATCTCTAAAACTGCCATTTTATAAAACCAATTATGAAATAAATCTTTTAAGAAAATCTTTTAGAAAACTTAACAAAGATATAATTTAGAAAAAAGATTATTGTTTTGCAAACCAGATTTTATAAGATAAAATCTCTCAAAGACCTTTTCCTGAATTTAAAACTTATCTTTTTTTTTTAAGACTTTCCATATTTATAAAGCTTTGTCACGATTCTAATAGATTTCATGCATAAACAAACCAAACATATTTATAGCAATCCTAACAAAAATAAATTATTAAAATCTTAATAAAAAGACTCTAAGTATACTGCTGATTTGCCTCCTCAAGCTTTGCATTATATGAATACTTGGGCTTTACGCAGACCAGGACTGACTGTCTTCAACTTTGGTAACACTTTTATATAAGGTAACACTTAAAGTAACACTTTTAACGTAGGTAACACTACAAAGTAACACTTTTAAAATAAGTAACATTTAATGGTAGCACTAATTTATTTATTTATTCAATTTCTCCACGGTTTTCTTGGAATTAACCCGGTTTTCATTCATTCTTAAAAAAAAAAAAAGACTACAACCTCTTTTTTCATTCACTCTTCTTCTTCTTTCTCCTCTGTGAAGCTGATGGTTCAAACTTTGAAGGCAAATAATCAAGGAAATCTACAACTTAACAATGGTGGTCGAACTACCTTTCCTCTCCCCTTTTTCTCTCTCTTGTCGAACTCTTCAATTTCTAGGGTTCTTCATTTTGAACGCTAATTCGATCCCCAGTTTGTCTCTTTGACAGTTTAGGGTTCCTCGCAGTTTGGAAAGTCTGCTTTGATCTACCAACGCACCGCTGCAACACTTATGCACCACTGAATCTTCGCAACTATGAACGTTGCGCCTCTAAACGTCACGCCACCACTGCATTGTCCAGGTAGGCTTTCGAATTTTTCTTCTTCTGCAATAATTTGGATCGAATTAATCTATTTAATAGCTGTTTTTGTTAATCGATTTATTTAATTAAATTGTACTCAGTAGTAATAAATCAATCGTATTTTTCGAATTGCAGTAATTTGATTCGAATTTTAGGTGGATTAAAAAAAACTTCAAAGTTCTAATTGTAGGGAAATGATTCAATCAATTTTTTTTTATACAGTTCATCAAATTACACTATGTAATTTCAATCAAGTTACACTAAGCTGTGAGTTTTCTTTGATTTTTGATTTCCCATTGTCAATATTTTCAATCTAGGGTTTATTTTTGGTGCTGATTCAAGGCAAAGGGTAACATTTTAGGGTTTCTAAAAGTTCAATAATTTTGATTCTATCAATAGTGCAACCGTGGTGAGGTTTAGAGAATTAGGCAGAGCCAAGAAGTCGTTGTTGGTATTTCCCCTAATTTATACTTTTTTATTTCTTCAATTTCATAAATTAGTGTTTTTTTCACCACAATGCTCGATTTGATGATCGTTGCACAATTAATTATGTATTCGGTAAATTACCTCTCAATTATTTCTTCAATTATCTAATTTCTTGCTTTGAACAAGTTGGGTGATGAATACTTAACTTCACTTATTTGAATGTTGCATAGGTTTTGATTCCTATTCTGAAGCCAATTGGATACACCAGTGCTAATCCTTATAAAATGTAAGCTTAATCTAACCTTCAATGCTCTTTTACTAGCTATTTTATGTTGGGTTTCGTGAAGGTATGCACCTTTTATTTACGTATACAAAAGCTGGCATTTATTGTTGCTGTGTTTTTATGCTAAAGCTTGCTGCAAATCCCTTAACAAAATCACCTACACAGTCCCTTATCATTCCACCACCACCAGCCTATCCTGGAGAGCCCTTGGCTGCTCCATTTGTATTAAGAGCATACCAGCTGCTAAGTGGCACTATCCACCTCACAAAGATTTCACGCCTAGGGTGCCTGCCAAGTATATTTGCAGTTCCTTGTAATGGACTAAAGGTGCAGATACGCTGTTGAACAGGAATCTGCCAAGCCAAACTCCATACGACAATGATGGTGATAGGTTGGCAAATCCACCTAATACAATTCCGGAAGCGCATTTCAATGAGTTGCTAGAATTTTGGAATTTGGAACTAGTCCATGTAAAGTTATGTTGTTTGTTTCCATTATATTACAATTGCTTATTTCCCTCTCAAAATGAAATGTATTAAGCTATGAACCGTGTGTTATGAATGCATGCAGGAAGATAGCAAAAAGAAAAGGGAAATAAGTATAGATCAAAATGATAGGCACACTATGGGTCCTATGACTTTTGCGAGGAAACACATAAATTGGTATGTTTTTATACCGTTCTTCCTTCTTTATCGTTCTCACTATGATCATGTAAACAATCTTATTTCAATTATTATTTGGATTTTTTTTTATTTTAGCAACAACTAGATATTGAAAACAAGCCACCATCCTTAGCACTCATGTACAAAGAAAGTCGTAAAAGGAAAGCAGACAAAAGATACAAAACATCTTATGAGCCCACCCAAAGTAACATTGTAAGTCCTATTGTCTCCATATTTTTCAAAATATGATTATTTGTCTCAAATTAGTTGTTTATTTGTTATATTTCCATTATAGGACAAGATGGAGGAGGTACGAATTCAAAGTGAAATTGATGGAGATGTTGCATACTATGAAATAATGAATAAACCAAATAACTTTGGCCATAGAAAAAAGCAACCGGGGATATGTTCATTAAGGGGAAAGAGCAACAAACCAATAATTCCCGATGAGTTCTTGAAGCCCTATAAAGACCAAATTGTGAAAGAAACTGTAGCAGAATTAATGAAGACACTCAAGAAAATTGATCTTGAAGTGTTGGATACTTTGACTTGATCACTTGAAAATGTGTCATCCGATCCCGAACTTACAGATCATATTCCCATTATACACTCTAATGAACAACAGCAAAATGAGGTAATGGTTAATATATAATCTTTTAAAAAGCACTAACTCTTATTATTGCGTTATTTCATTTTTGTTCTAGTTGTTTGATATATGATGCTTTCACACATAGGATCAATTGGATCAAGATGAAGAATTAGGATAGCAATTGATGATGCTACAAGAACTTACTTTTATCGCTATTTTGCTGCTGCTACCGCTGTTTTGCTGCTGTAATTTGCCGTTACTGCTGTTTTTTCACTGCTAGTGCTGTCTGATCTGTTGCTGACCCTTGCTACTTCGGTTTTCTGTCACTGCTCTTTGCTACTGCTGGTTGCTGCCAACTGCTGTCTTTTACTGCTGGAAGCTGCCACTCCTGTCTGCTACTGCTGGTTGCTGCTAAAGACTGCTGCTAGCAGCTTCTGTTACTGCTTCTGCCATTCTGCTAGTTGCGTAGCTGCTGCCATTCTACTAGCTAGCTGTGTAGCTGCTGCTATACGTTGTTATTAATGCTCTTTACTGTTATTGCTGACTTTTTTGAAATTTGGAAGTTTTTTTATTTTTCCAAGCTAGAGATCGAACTTAATTTAATTTTTGTTTGGATTATTTTATTGTTTGGCTAAACATTAAAATTGGTGTTTATGGATTTTTTTATAAGAATTGTGAAAGTATTTCAATCCAAATTGTTTTCTATTATATGTGTTGATTTCTTATTCATATAGTTGTTGTACATATAATTTTTTTTTTATATTTGATAGTAATAGTAATAGTAATAGTAATAGTAATAGTAATAGTAATAGTAATAGTAATAGTAATAGTAATAGTAATAGTAATAGTAATAGTAATAGTAGTAGTAATAATAATAATAATAATAATAATAATAATAATAATAATAATAATAATAATAATAATAATAATAATAATAATAAATATATATTTCACAAAGGTTACCGCTTCTGCAGAATCCGCATATTCTTTGTCTCCTCGGCAATCAGCATTATGGAAATCGCAGTAGGGAGATCACACATGTGCTTGGCTTCGGGCAGTCCCTATTTCTGGGTTGGGACAGACAATGAACCCAAAGACCTACCGATGTGTGTTGTGTTATAGGATGGGTGTTCCATTGTTCTCTATCTCGATGTCGTGCTCTGCTTGTTCTCGGGTTTTTACTGGGGATATTTTCGGTGATCACGCGGTATCGTGTGCTGGTATTGTGGGTATTAAACATCGACATAATGTTGTCCAGGATACCCTTGTTGATATCTGCTACAGATCTGGGATTTCAGCAAGAAAGGAAGTTGACATAGGGTTGTCTGGAGGGAATGATGGGGCCCTCAGACCTGCTGATGTGTTACTTTATTCCTGGGATCGTGGTCGCGATGTTTGTGTGGACTTAACAGGGTCTTCTCCTTTGACACAGACAGGGCTATCTGACTTTGTTCCTGGGCGGGTTGTAGCTGATGCGGCTAATCAGAAGCGTGTGAAGTATGAGGCTAGTTGTCGGCTGATTGGATACGGTTTCATTCCCTTCTCCTTTTCTTCACTTGGGGAATTAGAGAAGGAGGCAGTTGCGTTGCTGAAGCGGGTTCAGAGGTTCTCGACGACGCAAGACATTGGGGCTCGTGCTGCAGCTTATATCTTCACTAGGGTAGGCTTTGCTATAGCTAGAGGAGTGGGGGCCTAGATTGTATCTCGGCTTCCCACTAATTTATTGTAGGTTGTATGACTTTGTCTGTTTTTGAGATAATAATAATAATAATAATAATAATAATAATAATAATAATAATAATAGTAATAATAATAATAATAATAATAATAATCTACATTACTTTGTAAAAAGTGATACATAATGTCGAATAAAGTGCTACTATATGTCAAAACATGATTGAAAAATGTTACCTAATAATCAACAAAGTGTTACATTAGTTCGAAAAAGTAATACATAATGTCGGATAAAATGATACTATATGCTTGAAAAATGTTACTAAAGATAAGTAAGTGATACATAAAAAAATAAAAAGTAACACTTTAAAAATGATACTAAATATATAAAAAAGTGTTACCTAAGAGGTTATATAGTAACACTTTTAAAAGTGTTACCGTACATTATCCAAAGTGTTACATAAGACCTTAGGTAACATGGGCGGATGTATCACCCACTAAAGTGTTACCTATTGTCTATAATAACATTTTTACCACTTTATGTAACACTTTTTGGGTGTTACTTGAGGTTAGTTTTGTACTAGTGTGTTTGAAGGTGGTTGTGATGGAGGTGGGAGATGAAGTGTTTGGTGGATGCGGACTGTGGTGGAGGAAGGAGCGATATCATTTGTGTGGTGATGAAGGATAGTAATTTGAGTTGGTTGGTGGGTGCGACATGGTGGTGCTCTGCCGCAAGTTATGGATGGGGTAGGGGAAAAGGAATGGATTTTTTTTAATTTAAAATTTTATTTTTAAAGATTTTAATTGTTAAAATATATTTTAAAAAACATGTAGTCAATCATAACGTGGCACGTTTCTGGTTTAACCCATTCATCAGGTTACCAACTTGTAACATTATATTTTGTACATATACCTCCCAAAGGCCATATTATTCTAGATAATCACAAGGTCATTCTATTTTTGGAAGATCGACCAAAGGTCATATTATTCTGGGATAATCACAAGGTCGTTCTATTTTTGGAAGATTGACCAAAGGTCATACTATTCCTGACAATTTTTCCTTTTTTAAATAAAAATCTAGATTTTTTTTTATTATTTTTATTTTTTTTATTGAATTAGATCACTTGTTCACCATCCTACATTATTTCTTTTACTCATCTATTTGTGTCAGATAACTTTGTCTCAAATCCAGCAATCCACACCAACCATCTTCTATACCAACTATCGACCCACACCAATAGTTTCCATATAATCAATATCATCCTCATGCCACTGGTTCCATATAATCAACATTTATTTTGTAAGTAAATGTTATATTCAGTGGCGTCTCCAGGATTTCCAAATAGGGGGTTCGAAATTTCGAAAGTTCAGAATCATAATTTACAATTGAATGAATTGCATATTTGCATACAATTATGTACGAATTGCATATTTGAATACAATTATACGAATTGCATATTTGCATACAATTATGTAAAGACCAAAAGTAACTCAACGAATTTCACCAGTTTCAATGATAGGCTAAGTGGCTAACAGCAACAATACGGCAAACCACTCGCCAATTAACAGCAACATGCAACAATACAGCAACAATAGGCTAACTGGAAACTGGAAAGAATGGATACGAGAAAGAAATAAACCAAAAAATATCAATAAGCAAACCACTCACCAATACGGCAATACTGCAATACAGAAGTTCACACAATCACTATAAAATTATTTTTTCAGATTTTTTTTTAGATAATAAAAATCAATACATCATAATTTATCAAGATTCAAGAAGAAGAATATCTTTGCATACGGCAATACGGCAATAGAGGCATACAGCAATACAGCAAACTAAGAAGAAGAATATCTTTGCAATTGCATACAATTTTTTTTCAGATTTTTTTTTAGATAATAAAAATCAATACATCATAATTTATTATCAAGAATTCATTCATTCAAGATCAAAACAAATAGTATGTAAAATATATGAAATTAAGAAGTAAAAATTCAGTTATTCACCTACAGAGCCACGAAATATGGATGAGTGGATGACGGAGCAGTGGAGCACCGAGCACTGATTATCCCCTTCTAATCGACTTCTGCAATAAATCGATGATAACCCATGACAAGAAGTCAAGAACAATGTACAGATTACACTAATTACAGAACATGAGAACAATGTAGTACATTCTAAAACAACCTCCATTGAATCATTGATAAACACTCTAAAACAATAGACAATCAACACTTCAACCGACAATCAACATTCAACACTTCAACAGGCAACAATTCAAGTATTCAACAAACAACAATTCAAGTACAGGCTATACAAATTACACTAATTCAAGTCAACAGACAACAATTCAACAAATGAACTACTTCTACAATCTACAAACCCTAAATCAGTAAATGAAAATCAGATACTTCCTTCCCCAAGACCCCAATTTCAACCATTTTTTCAATAGACAGTAGTCACCCAAAAACCCAAAATTGATAGCTAAAGTTCATCACACATTCACACATTCAAACACCACGTATTCACGTAATTATCTACAAAAATCATGAAACCAAAAACTTTATATATTATTAACCCAGAAGGCCAGATAGAACTAGATAGAAGACGACATACAATTAAAGCCTTAAAGGAAACCGGCAAAGTGGGCTGACTAGTGACTACTGGCCTACTGCCGACCTGCCGTGCTGCGGTGCTGGCTGAGTGCCTGAGTGGCTGCTGCGGACTTCTGCGGTGCTGCGCCCGTGCGCCGGGAAGAGAAGGAGCCAAGGAGGAAGAACGGGAAGAGAAGGAGCCAAGGAGGAAGAACGGGAAGAGATTAAGAGAAGGAGGAAGAAGTTAGGGTTTTGCAATTTGGGGGAATGAGGAAGAGGAAAGCTGGAAGCAGGGGATTAGGGGAAGCAGGATGAAAGGAAACAAAATGAAAAAATAAAAGTGTGAGTTATGGGTTTCGAACCCTGAACCCACAAACTCTTGTATCATTGTATGATGAGAGGTAAAAATAACCACTGGGCTACAACTTTACTTGTTGCCATATAATACACAAATATTCTATTTAAACCTATTTTGATTTTTTTTTTTTAAAAAAAAAAGTTTTTAATTTTTTTCAAAAAATCAGTGGGTTCAATGAACCCACTTGAACCCACCGTGGCTCCGCCACTGGTTATATTGTATTGCATTCATAAACTATACATAATACTTCGTATATATTACAAAATAGTCAATAAAGATAACACAATGCTATAACTCTTTTTTAATAAAACATAATGCTCCGATTTTGATAAGGGAGATAATGGTCAACAATATGAGAATATTATTACATAAAAAAAAGCGATTATATACACCTAAATATTAACATTGTCAAATATAAGATTTGAAGAGATAATTAAATGATATTAAGAATAATGTTGAGAGATACTATACTCCACATATATAGTAAGGCTGGCTTCTTCCTTAAATCTTGTACTTACAAAAAGTTTTATTTTTAACTTATTATCATTTTTGATTAGTTAGGAATTGATGTGTTTCGGTGACGATTTAAATTATGTAGTAGACATTTGATGGCTAAAAATAATATTGGTGAGAATGTTTGATTAAAAAAATTGAAAAATATATAGCAAATTAAAAAATCAAATATTTCTAAAAACTAGGGGTACCTACGCGTGCGATGCGTGCGATATAGGTAGTGTTTCGAGAAGAGTTATTGCAGTAGGTCTTAATACCTTATGCATGTTTGCATGACCTTTTATATTTAAGTTATTTGTGCATACGCGATTAATGTGTTAAATGCTATGTATCTTTGCAATGTTCAAAAATTTGGCAAGTTACTTTAGAATTAGTGAAAGAGTTGCAAAAAGTATCGATTTCTATAAATGCAAATGTTTGCTATATTTAAAGTACACATTGAGATGATTCAATTAACAAGACATTACATTTTCTTGTATTCCACAATAATAGAATTATGAATTATCAATAATTTGGAGAGAGTAAAAGAGGTACGGTTATTATGTGAAAAAACACAAATTTTAATTTATGAATTATCAATCATTTAGCCTTAAGAAAAAGAAGGGATGTGAACAAAGAAAAAAAAAAAACTATTTATCATTCATTTTTTTTTCTTGAATAGAAGTATTATTTAATTGTAATATGACAATTAAATCTAAAACCTAGCAATCACTATTTTGGGATCCCATGTGTCTTAATTGTTTAGGATGAAATAGTCTATTTTCTATATTTCTTACCTTTAATTTTTTAAGGATAATTTTTTCTTTTAGTTTAATTTTCTTAGTGTTTTGTCCATTGAGTTTCTTTGAAAAACATAAGATACCAAATACACCTCGCTTTAAATTTTAATCAGTTACAATTGTGATCATAATAATTATTGTAAATGTCATATAACTATTGTTTATTATTCTTCTCTGTAAAACAAATTTTTTAAGGAGTAAATTGAAATTATAAGTTATTAATTTATTTTGTTAAAGTTACAAAACTATTGAAGTTATTTTCTTAATGGGGTAAAAAAAAATGTAGTAGACGGGCAAAAATGACCTATTAACCTCAAAAACTAAGTTAAGTGGAGAAGTAAAGTTCCAAGGATAAAAAACAATAGATGTTGAATGATTGCATGTGTCAAACAAGCTCATTCCCAAATTCCAACCAAGCTTGTCTTCAGGTCCAATTAGTAAAAACTTGGGCAATATTTTGCTTAGACCTAAGAGTCACCAAGCTAGCTAAACTATCTCAACAACCATTAACCAAAATGCGAAATCTCTTAATAACTTACATTTTCAAGCAATAATCGTATTCATATTCAAGTCAAATTTTGCTGAGTTTATTTGTAATTTAGAGTTATCCCTCCCCCACCCCCCCCCCCCCCAAAAAAAAAAAAAAAAATAGAATTATCGACAAAAAAAAACTTGCATTATAACGAACAAGTATGAAAGATAGGAACCTGTTTAATTACTTGTACAGATGTATGGTGTTATAATTACAATGATTTTAACTTTCAATTATAGCCTTGGTCCATGTCGATAAAAACTTTAGATTAATAGATGCCAAATCGAAGAATTCTTGTGACAGTCATGACAAGACAATACCAGTAATTGTAACGAACGGTTGAAACTGACTTCTTTTATGTGATGCAAGCACGCCTCCAATACATCAAGAAATGTGGCTTTGCACCTGGACACGAGTTCTAGTTGCTGTATTTGACCAACCTTTGTCTTAGCTTCTAGTTTTTTTCCCCCCTCCTTGCTAGAGCTGCTCATATGATCTTTCGGATTTCACTTTCACGAACCAATACCCTTGTAAATTTAATATCATGAGCATGGACATCAGTTTTCTGTAATTACAGTCTACGAAATCCAACCGATTCACCAGCCTACACTTGAGTTCCTTAGTTCCTTGGGCTTCATATTGAACATTCAAGTTTTTGCTACATCTACTTCAGCTACACTACTATGCATCCAAATTAATAGTATGCAACTTATAACACTAACTATGATTCCACCACTACCTTGCTATATTCATGTCCAGCAGGTGTTAGACATAAAGAATATGGAAACTTACGTATTGAGCCTTAAAAAATAATGATGACAAGACAATGTATGACTACCTTTAAGAAGACCACGAATACATTGAAGCCATGCCTCTCCCTCTCATATTGTTAAGCCTCTCAATCACATCTACAAATAAAAAGATACACATACGTATATATCAGCATCATGTGTTCCATATCATGTGTTAAGCCTCTTAATCACATCTGCAAACAAAAACATACACATACACATAGGTATTGGGTACCTAACAACTTAATTTTAATATTAATATACAAGATTGTTTTCTCCCGATCTTAAAATCCATTAAATAATTATATTTTGCACTTGTTAAACCTCACAAGTCATAACCATTGGGTTTGAATTTCATGAAATAACTAGTATTTTTTTTTTAAAACCTCATAAGTCGTAACCATTGGGTTTGAATTTCATGAAATATATATATTTTTTTTTTTTAATCGGCGAGTAAATTACCCTCCACTAAGGCTGTCATAGAAGCTAGCTAGTGTTAGTGAAATCCAACAGGCACAAAGCATTTTCCGACTTCTAAAGTTTGATCTTCTCTACTCCACAGAAGAACACAAGGTGATAATTTTACTACTTGTAATATCTAGCATATCATGTAGAAATGGATACAACTAAGCAAACAATATCTAAATTCTTTTACATATGGACAGACATTCATACCAAGCAACCATGTATTATCGACTTGTGATTAAAAGTAAGCCAATTGATGTTTTGCTCTAATCCTACTTAATACACACATGCATGATACACCTCAGCTCAAATCTCAACATGAAAGATGTACTAAACAGCAGAAACAAATGTAATTTTTTTTGTTCATAATTTTTTTGTTATACGTAGTAGTTGCAATTAATAAGAACTCAATATACAAAGTATCACTTAGAAAGCCAAGAGGTTGCAAACCTGGCCTTGAGCGAGACTACTTTTTCCTTTAATGCTCATTCCCTTTAGTGGACTCAAACTCTCAAAGCAACCATTAATTATTCTGACACTTCTAAGCACTCGATTTTGTTATCCTTGCAGGGAACTCCAGCATAATAGCCTTATTTGCACATTCATCATTGCAATCTTGTTTTGTGCTGTGTTTACAGCCAACTCCAACACTTCAGTGATTGACAGGATATAGAGAAAAGTTAGCAAAAAATACGAAATCGGGAAACATAATCTTAAATTTACGAAATCGGCTACCATTTTAGAGCTCAATTTAGACACTAAATTAGGCCAAATTTTTAGGTTACAAAGAAAATAAAAAAATTCAAGCAATAAGTCATATTAAACAAAAAAAAAAAAAAAAAAAAAAAAAAAAAAAAAAATCCAATAAGAAAGTATGAGAATAAACCTAGAAATAAATGACCAAAGAAATTAGCGAAGTAGAACAAGATAGATTAGAAATGAACACAAATTTCAACCGAAATTATTATAATAGGTGAGAAGAAAAACTTTCAGTCAGGGTAGAATGAATCTCTATCAGATGCTAGCACCATTAGGATGGTTGAAAGGCAAAAGCAAAGCAATCCAATTGATTTGATATTCAATAATAAAAATAAATAAACAAATAGAGCAAAAAAAGAAATTGAAGTGAAAATCATAAACTTACATCAATTGAGTGTCGATTTAAAGAATATCCAAATGCAAAGTTCAGCAATTCCACTAATAGAGCCAAAAAAAAAAAAAAAAAAAAAATCAAAAACTCAATCAAATTAGGTTTTCCACTAACATGATTAAAGAGATGATTTGAGAAAATAGCCTAAAATTCAGAAATTCGAGATTTCAAATTGCTTAAGTATAAATTTACCTTCGATTGCGCTAAATTGAGCTTACAAATTCAACAGCTACAGAAATATGTATCAGAAAAACGAGATTAACGAAGTCGTGTAATTAGAAACGCCAAAATTTGGGGGCGAACAAGAGTGAATGTAGAGAGAACCTGTGACAATTAAATTAATGATTAACCCAGATTGTGAATTTGGTATTCAATAATAAAAAATAAAAAATAAAAAAAAATTACCTCAATGCAGCAAGTTAGAAACTACTTCGATGGAGGAGATAAAGCACAGTAGGCGCTTCAATGGAGAACTAATTGTTTGCTTCACCGCATAAACTACTTCGATGGAGTTGCTTCAATCGAGGAGAGAGAGTAGAGAGGTAGAGGAGGAAGGAGAGAAAGGGACGCTTATGAGGAAGAAAGAGGAAAAGCATTAGTTAGTCACATCAGGGATAACGCACAGCGAGACAAACAGTCAATATTAACGGGGGTATAATGGTAAATAAATATTTTTAAGGTTATATTCTCCCACTTTTTAAAAGATAGGGATTAGCTAAAATAAATTAAATAAAAAAATTGTTTTCGGCTTGTTAGGTTGACACAAACCTGAAACTTTGAGATAGGGTTGAGCGATTCGTAACCGTAACCCAACTCGAAATAACTCGTAACCCGAAATAACCCAACTGACCCGATTAAAAGGTCTTACTATCATGTCATTGTGTATGATTGGCCCACATGTGTAGCCTTTACCTAAAGGCTACAAGCCCTAATGAAACCATACCACATTACTTTGGGCCCGATAATAACAAACCCCGTAACTCAAAACTTTATTAAAAATCATCGATTAAACCCAGGAAAAAAGGCTAAAAACTTCCTAATCCTCTTATTTTCTCTCTCCTCTCTATATAAACCACGCTTCTTTAAACTCATTAATTACTTCTTCCTGAAATTCCAAAGCATAAAAAAAAATATAACCAAAAAAAATAAATTCTTTTGTTAGTTTTCTATTGCGCCGAATTTTCTTCTTCAGAAGCGTCAGTTTGTTTTTCCCCAATTTTGGTTTCTAGGGTTTTTAGGGGTTTTGAATTTTTGATTTGAAGTGAAGATTGAAGAATTTGGTCATTCTGGCTATGGATTACGAGCCTTGTCCTTCTGATATCAGTGGTATGTTTGTGTATTTTGTCTTGTTTTTAGAAATTACATTGTTGTATTGTGATATAATTTTGAGTTAATTCAATTTCTGTTCGAATTTTAGGGTTTAGGGTTCTTGTTTTTTCATGAATTAATGATTTTATTGTTGCTGTGTGTTGAATTATGTTGAAATTATACAGTTCCAAACTTTTTTGCTTTGATTGTGCATCTAATTATCAGGGTTGTTTTGCTACATTTGAATTGATTGATATTTTTGGAATTGCTTATTATTTGCTCCCTTTATTTGGTGATTCTCTATTAGTGGTTTACGAACTTCAGTAAAATAATTTGAGCGAATGCGATAATAGTTCAATGATTTAGTAATTGCAGTAGGTAGGCGGGAAATTTGATTTTGAAGCTAAGCTTTGTTTAATGGGAGTTCAAATTTCTGGTGACTTTAACTGCTTCTGCTTCATGTTGTCGAAATTGTTGCCCAAATTGAGTGATTTTATGTCTTCGTTACATTATAGCGGGGTTCGGGACGACAGGAAATGCCAGACATGTGCTTGAGATTATGATTTGGGAATTGGGATGTCTAGTAGGAAGTGTTATTTTACTCCAGTGGAAATGCCCAGTATTTATAGATTATGAGGGACATTTGGCATGAGATATAAATTAAAATGGTTATGTTTGGGAGGTTGCCTTTGATTTACTAGTTTTGTTTGCTGTATCAGCTTTATTTATCTCTGTATTTATACGCGCTTAAAATTAACTGTAAAGGATACACGGTTATTAAAAAAATAATCATGTTTTCTGATTGAAGAATACCGTAGATACTGATGAAGATCTTCCTCCACACCAATATAGAGTTCAGAGAGCACCCCACATCTCAGGAAACGGAAATTCAATGCTAGGTTCAGGACCCTATCGTAGAGTGCAGGGAGATATGGAGCACCAAATACATCATCTTGAAAAGGAAGCCTATTGTGGAGTTCTTCGAGCCTTCAAAGCACAATCTGATGCAATTTCTTGGGTAATTTATTCTATTTGAAGTCAGTGGGGTGTCAGATGCCAATGTTGTCAGATTCTGAATCACTTTAAAAAACCTGTTTTTCAGGAAAAAGAAAGTTTGATAACGGAACTCCGGAAAGAGTTGAGAGTTTCAGATGACGAACACAGAGATCTTCTCGTGAGGGTCAATAATGATGATATCATTCGCAGAATAAGGTTTGGGTTTTTTATGTTTTCTGTTTTATATATTATTGCTTTATTGCTGAGATATGTTTATGATTATTCAGTTACTTTTTAACCTGTGAATCTGTAGGGTATAATGCTTCTACTGAGAATCTAACTCAAAATTAAACTTTTCTGTCTTGGAAAAATAGTTGCTCATGTTTTATGGCTCTCCATCGTATGTCTTGTCAGAAGATGCTAAACACTGCGTGAAATAATACGCCTAAGTTGAAAAGTTTGCATTTCAATTGAACATCATTGTTTTCTAGCTGATATGTAAATAGATTGCTACAAAAATCCTACCTTTCTTTTCTTAGGAAGACTTTCCCCTTTTTTTGGCAAGGACAAGTCCTCTTGTATCTCTTGTATGTTGAAGGTATTAAATGCTTCTGTTTCTTCGTTGTGATGCAATATGTTATTTGTACTGTTTATTAAGGGAATGGAGACAGGCTGGAGGGCATCAGACTCTGAGTACATCGCATCCTATAAATGATGTGTCCAGCCTAACTCCTGTTTCCCGCAAGAAGCAGCGAACAACACAATCTGTTCCCACCCATGCTGGCCATGTAGCACCACCTCCAACTGGATCTGTTGGACCGCGAGGCAGAAAACCCAAACAGGTTTGTAGATCTTACTTGTATAAGTATATCATCTGATGTTTGTTGACAACTTCCATTTCTGTAGTTTCTTAACCTGTTTGATATATCTGAGGTCATATCTGATGTATTCTCATTCATGTCCATACAGTTCCCATACAGTAACTCTGCTGCGCATGAAACTTCTATGCCTGGAGATGGTGAAGGGTTGGTAGGAAAGAAAGTGTTGACCAGGTGGCCAGATGACAACCATTTTTATGAGGCCATGATTACTCGATACAATGCATCTGATGTATGTCATATCATTTCAAATAGATATTCAGTTTTCTCAAAATCAAGAACCATTCTAATTATTCTATGGATAATTATCAGGGCCGACATGAGTTAGTGTATGGTACTCAAACACAAGATGAATCTTTTGAGTGGGTTAATCTCAAGGAGGTGAGTGTGAATAGTATGTATAAGTGTTAATTTAATTCAACGGGATATCCAATGCAAATATATTCTGCATTTGATTGTGGTATGCTACTAGGTTTCTGCAATGACATCAATTAGTTGTTTTTAGAGGACATGAGCAAGACATGTTGCCTTAATGCCTTGTGTGAATTTAGGTTCAGAGTTATGTGACATTATGTCTCCTAATTGCTAGTTTATTCTACCATAATAGAGGTTGTCGAAAGTTCTCCCCTCCAATAAGGAAGTAGGATCCCTTGACATGATGAGATTTTAGCTTTAGGGCAGTGGTGCTTGTAAGTTGTGACGTTCATTGCCTCATGCCCTCATCTCATGCTTTGTCTTCTGCTACACATGTATTAATGACTAGAGTTATGGATTCTGTACCTCCTGATATTGATTAGTAATGCTGAATCATGGTTTGAAAATACAATTTTGGTTGCGGTTGCGGGAATGGTCACAGTGTTGCAAGAGCGGAAAAGGTGCATTGATCGCGTACCGTGTTGCCATTTATCATGATACGAATTTAATTTCAATGTCTTTCAAGGACTTATATCAAATTCTATGTTATTAGAGTAATTACATTAGACTATTAGAGGCTTAGAACCATTAATGAGGAGGAATGAGGAATTTTCCACTATATCTTGAAAAGTAACTTTTGAATGAAACACATGGGGCAATTCAGGGTTGTAACATTTGATTTGTTCGAGAATGCAGGTTTTAAAACATCCATTAATGAACTGGCCGATTTTGGTTCGGTCAATTGAAAATCCTTTATCATACCACCTACTTCAAACGACACAGATGTATTTAAGCAGCATGAGCAGAATGCTGGTGTAAGCTCACCTGCTATTGACTATATTGCAATCCTGATCATATAGATTAAAAGTTCCTATCTGAATTGGTGTATTTGAACAAACGATTTTTGTTTACTCAGAATTTCAAGAACATAGCCAGATGTATTGTGCTCATGGTCTCTAGCCCGTGGTGATTGGTCAATTATATAGCTTTGTTTTTGCAACTTTTTGAGCCGAACAGGTGTGTAGTAGGAATTAGATAAAGGTTGGAGTGTGCTGGAACTTTCAAATCTTGAAAAGTCCATGATTACCAACTTTGGATCACCTTTGTCCCGTCAATCAAACCCATTTTTAGTGTATAACTGTCAAAATTTGGAGAATGACCATGTAAAAAAAGAACTTATGACTGTAATGAAGACAAAGTAGGTTATGTTGAACTTTTAAGTACTGAGCAGTTTTTGAGTACGCACCTGTAAGCTAACTACTGATGGGTATATTGAACTTCATATGCACTATGATGCTTGGAGTGTCTATAATGCTGATCACCTATTTTTGCTTGATGGGTTGGTAACTTTAATTACCTGACTGAAGATGGTGGCTTTGCTGTTTGCTAGAATTACCTGATAAGAATATAGTGGTTTTTCCTTGCCTCTGGCCTCCTCCCTCCCCCTCCAAGCAGTAGTAGGGGTGGGTGTGGGTAACCTGTGCATTTATAGCAGTTTGAGAACTTAAAATCAAGAATAATCGCGTACTGAGGATGCAAGATGTTGATGATATTATTACAACCATGCTATGATGATTGTTGAAACTTGAGATAATTCAATAGTGGTAAATGAACTATTTTGCTTTCATGCACATGGGTGTATTTCTGATTTTCAAACAATATTAATTTTACGTTGCCAATGGTAGGAATCATACTAATTTTTTTTTTGTATAATTCAATTAACTGGTGCATATCAATCAAAATAAGACACATTTCATGAACTTACATGCCCGTTTGCTATTGATCTGAGGGAAATGCTTTCTGTTGTCAGCTGTTTCTTTCTTTGCCTTTTGCTTATTTTTTTTACTTTTTCTATTAGAATTAAACTTGTCTATTCAAATTTTCGTAGATACCTTTTGAGGATATCCAATGGGTGAATGAAGACCCTGGACTATCTCATAGAGGGGGCCCTGGAGAAAAGAGATCAATGAACAACACTGGTGCAGTTCCAGGTGCTGGAAGAAAGCAGAATCGGAGTGAGATTCAGAATGGCGCTGGAAATATGACAGATGACATTGAGATTCTCCATACTGACACATTGATTAAGGAGGTAAACAATATGAAACGGATTGTATTTGTAGGCAGGATTTTATGCTTATGTTGCAAGTTTGATTTATGTGTTATTCTTTGTTTTCATACCAGGTTGAAAAGGTAGTTGCTGCAAGTAATCCTGACCGTCTTGAAATTGAGAAGGCAAAGAAGATGCTGAAGGTATATTCCTCTTTGCTTGTGCAAGTATTCTAGTGTTCCATGCAACTGCTAGACACTGATAAGCAGTCAAATGTACATTTTGCAGGAACACGAGCAAGCACTTGTCAATGCAATCTCAAGGCTTTCATATGTATCAGATGGTGACAGTGGTAATAGACTCGTATATATTATGTGATGAAAAGTCTGTATACCGCCTATAACCAGGACATAACTTGAAGTACTGATTAAGCATCCCCCCCCCCCCTTCTCTCCCCCTCCCTCTCTCCACTCTAATCTCTTCTGAAATTTGAAACGAAATGAACATAGAGGAACAACTTGCATGCCAATACTAACATTCCCTTAGCATTAGTTAAAAAGCATTAGAACTTCCAACTCTTAACCCCCCCCCCCCCCCCCCCAAAAAAAAATAAAAAATTAAAAAATAAAAAAAAAACAACAGAGGGTTGCAGTACATCCTTTTGTGGTGGATGTTACCTTTTTAGGCGTGGAAGATGAGCAACTGTTGCACGGTCAGGGTGATCAGACAATGATAAGCTTACCCAACATGCTAAATTATTAATTTTCTTGTTGGTTATCCAGTGTGATGTTATCGGCCTCATTGCTGATTGACTAGAAATATGAAGGTAGTTTGATCAGTTTCTTGCAAGTTCTGGATTCCACTACCAAAATGTTATTGATGTTAAAAAAAAATGTGTTTTAACGGTTTGAGATTATGAGCTAGCTGTATTTCCTCCCAAAAAGAAGGTTCATTTTTTAGAAATTACTAAAATGAATGAGAATCTGATAGCAAGGGAAATTGTGATTTGGGCTTAAATAGAAATGATGCAATCATATCATTCCATTGGTTGACAACTTAAAAACTAACACGGTGGAAATAATATTCAAAGTAATCAAAAAGTATTCATTTATGTGAAATTGAGACATTTTATTACTTTTATGTCAAATTATGTTGTTCTAAACTCATCTTTTCACCTATAAGGGTTTCGTTGATATCTGTTTTTGGACGAACCCAATTGCAGAGCACTTAGGGAAAAAAATTGTTTTTGTGTGTGTGGAGGGGGAGGATATCTTTGGAAGTGATTTTTCTTTGTCTTAGGGAAACTGGAAATCGCCACCTATAAAAAGCCCAAAGTTGGGTTTGATCTCATGACCTCAAGGTTACAAGGGTCATCCCATACCCTCAGGTCAAGCATGGAGTTGGGAGTAATTGGAATGAAGAATTTAAAAATCGATGTACGAACATGCACTGTACTTTCTTGCAGCCATATATATGACACCTATATTCATCTATGCTTGGGAGGGATTGTTCCTTTTTACCCTCTTCACCTTTCATCTAGAGGTGTAAGCTGTGTAACTATGCAAAATGGGTAGAAGGGTTTTAACACTACTTATCGAAGCTATAATTCTGTAGTTCATATCATCTGGTGTGGATGTGTTGTAGAGGGTGAATACGCTGGGTGAGAACCGAAGTCAATGTAATTTTTGTTTCATTTCTCTGTTATATGCAATTTCATTTGGCTTCATTTAAATGTTTTAGCCTTTTAGGCAAATTCTCTTGTCTTCATTTTTAGGTTGATTTTTGTGTCCGTGATTGTTAAACAGAACGGACTGATATGCATTGACTTCAACCAGATGGAGATCAACAATACTAGCGTAGCGAATCAGATATTTGAGCGCATCTGGAGTTGGCAATTAGCAAAAGCCGACATATTAGCAGTTGCTTAAGGTAGGATGCAAGTTGTGCGCACAATCGAGCTTTATCTGTGAATCAGAGGCACGTTCCTCAATTGACTTGCTGCTGGTCCTTTGTAATTGTTATAGAACAGATGAACCGGGAAATTCTTTTTTAAAACTGACCAAGTAGTGATCAGTAATTGTACAAGTAGGTTTCATGTGAAAATTAATAATATTTTGATATGTATTTATAGATAGTACGTTAGTTTTGCAGGAATAACAATGTAATTTTTGTTGATTTCTAGATTAAGCATTTCAAAAACAATGAGACTTATGAGAGGGTAATTATACACCTCTATTAGATGCATTGAGCATAGCACCCACCGTCAAATACAACAAATAATAGGTGGGTTACACACCAAGCCTGTGTGCCATAATAATCTACTTGCCTAAACATTACAAAATCAAATCGAAAAGATCCCAATTCCCACCATAACTATACACATCCCCCCTACTATCTCTGGCGTTTCTTTGAGTGCGACTCTACATCTACACTGCCACCATCTCGGCCTCTCTTACCCATAGCTGCGATTGCTGCAGCTCTCTTAGGTGGTCGACTGCTGCTCCTATTCCCTGGACTTTCTCTCTCCTCCTTGCCCGTCTTTTCCTTACTAAGTTTACTACCTGACCCTTTCTGTGGACCCTCATCTTTCCTCCTGTCACTCTTAACATTACCACTACTGTCGCCATTACCAGTCTTTCTTTTATCTGAGTTCTTCAATGACTGCAAAAATAAAGTTTTACCTGAGGCTGATCCTGAAACCTGCTTTACCTTATTTGAAGAATTTCCAGGACTTGGCTTCTTTTTATCGGCCTTAACCTCTGAACTTTCTCCCTTGCTCGATATAGGAGTGTTTGGGTTCGGATTGCTGTTGTTCCTGCTTGATGAGCTTCTTGACCCAAAACTCTGATCTCTGGTTCGCTTCTTAGTTACAGCATTGAATGACGTTGATGATGCCTTCTCCCTTTGCTGCTTCACCATCTCCCCAATAGAAGCTTTTTCATCAGGTGGTGTAACCGGTGCTGGCTCCCTTTTCTCACTTACTCCTCTTGATGATTTTCCTGCTATGGAACTTCGTTTTCTACAAGCAATCACCAGACCATTTACAGTTAAACTAGGCTGCTTGAGATCAGCTTGATTGGCCTCAGGTTTTGTTGGCTTTGGTAGGGGTGCTGGTTGGACAGGTTTGGAAGGGCGAGACTTGTGATCTTGTGGAGATGATAAGTGTGGCTGAAATTGTTTGTTGAGTAGTTGTCGAAGCTCGAGTGCTGCTTTGTGTTCTGAAGATCTTTTTGTGAAGAAGACAATGGCATTGTTGATGAGGAGCATTAGGTCACGGTAGAATTTGGTTTGACAATCTGAATACTGACCTTCTTCCAGTCTTCTCTGGATAGTTTCCAGATCAATATGCTGTTTTATTAGGTTTGTATATTTGGGATTTTCCTGCAATCACAATGAACACTTTCATTCTTAATGATAAATGTACAGCACAGGACAGATATTTAAGCAAAAATCGGTTTGCAGGTGTCACTGAAGTCCAATGGCAAGTTAAATTTCAGATTGGCTTACCTTGCCACATGAGATTTTAAACTGATTTCACTTTTAGTTAAGTTGTACCCCAATGGTTAGCTACTATCATTATTTCTATTTCTGACTTTTTTTTTTTGAGCAAAATCAAAATTCCTTCTTTTGCCCAACACTTCTTTGATATGTAATTTTATTTATTTATTTTTTTTGATTTAAAATGTTCTCCAGTTGATTAATTCGGAAGAAAAAAAAAAAAAAAAAACATCATGTAACCATTCACTAGGAAAGAAGCATCCCAATCAAGGATAACGACTCTGAGCTATCTCCTCGGTCACCCTCCATATAGAGATAGTTTTAAAGGACATAAAATGGACGAAAATCAATCTCAAATCTCAATTGAGAGGACACAAACTCACAATAACTTATTGTAATATAAGGAGTATATGTTTATTTTACAATAATTAATAGCCAATAAGGAGTGTTAAAATGGAATACTTAAAAGTTAAAACTTATGTTTCCTATAATCCCTTATGACTTAAAAATTTTGTTTCTTATAATACGGTATGACATATATGGTGGTAGGTTATAGATATCAATAATTAAAAATGAAATACCAAACAAAATATGGATATAGAGTACTCCTTCATTTCGGAATAATTGCAATACTTTGACTTTTGCAATCGAAAGGAGTATTATTCTATTCTTATTCCTCCATCAATAATACTCCGTAAAATAACTTCTCAAACTCATGTTATTTTACATAAAGGTCAACGACAAATTGACAACTTGACTAGTAATGGTAATGAAAAAAAAAAGGTAAACTAGTATTACCACACAGCCACAAGTACAACGGTAAACATATTTATTCTCATTATCACCATATATCACCTTTATAAACTAATCATTGATACTATTCCTCCGTCTTATATTATAATTCCTGTTTATCTATTTTGAAAACCCAAAATATTGATTCTGTTTCTATTTTTAGATAGTATGTAAAGACTATATAATACCCTTAATTTCTTTTTAACTTTATTTGTTAAATTTTTTAATTTACGCTTAAATTATCCACTAGCTTTCTACTTTTTTTTTTTCCCTTTCTCTGATTATACTTTTTTTTTTTCCATTAAATTATCCACTAGTAGTTTTTTTCCACCTTTAACGTCCTTCATCTACAAACACAAACAGGAACTACATATTGGGAGTATAATAATTTGATAATTTAATATTTAAAATTAATAAATATACTTAGCAGCATACATAACATCGTAATTAATCCATAATATTACCTGACTCTCAAGCCGACGCTCAAAAAACGACCCAAGTTTACGAGCACGAACAACGTCAAGAAACTCAACCAACGAACGCAATTTTCCCTCACCATTCGCTTTAACTGCCGGAGATTGATTCTCCTCGCCGCTACTATTCCCGGAAAACACCCCAATCTTTTTCTCCCTACACTTATTCTCATCACCATTTTTAGCATTATCATTAACATTATTATCATCATCATTCTTCTCACTCCTCCACAAACTTGCCGTACTTTGTAAGTCACTACTCTCCTTCACCCCTCCTCCTCCACAACCACCGTCATCCCTCGACTCCGCTACCGATTCCACCAACTCACCCGAATCAACTCGCTCCCTTCTCTCCTGCTCGCTTCTTCGCTCTTCCTTCGAGTTCGAGCTCCCGTTGCACGAGTCATCCTCCTCACCGCCAACCGGTTCACTCGCCCGGCCCGGTTCGGTTCCTACCGGCTCATCCGGTTCAGCTTCGGAAGTTTTCACCTCGTCGATTTCCGTTTCTCTCTCCTCGATTTTCTTTGGATCGGAAATCTTTTCTCTCTCCTCTTTGATTTCTTCTTTCACGTTACTCTCTCTTTCCTCCTTTAATTTCTTCACCTTCAATTGCAACGAACTGCATGAACAAAAATCCACAATAAATCAAAATAATTCCTAAATTTATAAATTAAATCAATCAAAGAATCAATAAAAAAAAAACCGAATTAATCAAATATAACATAATTTTAGATCGAGATTATTACACAATAGAAAGATCGTAACGCTGAAGGTCACGCCGGAGTTCGGCAACACGAAGGCGGCGCAACTCCTCAAGCCACAAACCGGCATCATCGCCGGCAATTTCTCCGGCGATATCGGAAGCGAAGCGGCGTTTAAGGTCGCGGTATTTCTGCTGGCATATGAGAGGAGTGAAGTGAGAGAAAGAGGTGCGATTCTGGAGTTCTCTGGAAACGGAGTCCCAAGCGTCGATGCCGTGACGTTGAACGGCGCAGGCTAGTAAGAGTTCTTCCTGAGTTCCCCAAGGTGACGGCGGTGTGATGGTGGTTGTTGCGGCGGTTGTAGTGGTGGTCTGGATTTGAGAGGTTGAAGGTTCAGCCATGGAGAGGAGGTTGGGTTGGTTTCTCTCTCCTCTGGTTTGTTGTCATATGTTTTGTTGGTGGTGGTGTTTGATATTTTACTGGGTTTTTTTTGTTTTTTTTTGGGTTTGGATTTGGGTTGGGCTATAAGTGGCTCGGATTAGCGGCTTGGATAATGGAAGTTTGGAGGGTGTGTCGGGTTTGAAGGTCGAGCTAAAGTTAATTTGATTGGTGAAATGGGAAATGTGTTTTAAGATTATTTTATTTTTTGGTTTTTCTACGTAATAATCTTCCTTATTTTACTTTTCTACGTTGTATCCTTTCATATAACACTTTTCACCATGTAATCCACAGGTAGGGTTGTGCATCCATCAAAAATCGGATCGGAACCCAAAATCACCTTTTTTTGCGGACCGGACCATAATCAACCAATCTGGGTTCCGATCTAGACCTGTTTATTCTGGTCCGATTTTATACCAAAATGGACCGATTATATTTTTTTTCTTTTCTTTTTTTTTTTGCATTTTAATATCTTTATATATACATCAATTTTAACGTCTTGTTTTTATTTGTGTGCTTTCTTATTTGGCACCTATAATTTATAAATAACAAGTTTTGTAACTAAATGTTTTAGAAATTTAAACATAAAATTTAAAATTTTCACCCAAAAAAAAAAATACATTTTTTAGTTCATTCCGGTCCGGTCCTAAATATTCCGATTTCTACCCGGACCAGACCAGAAACCCTGAATCATCAATTTGTGAGGACCGAAGACCGACCCAGAATCCAACAGTCCGGTCTCGGTCCGGTTTCCGATCTTGGTCCTTTTTTGCACATCCCTACCCGCAGGTACTTGTATTAAGTATACGGTAACCTTGTCGTTATCCCGCCGTTAACAAATTCTGTAAGTGGGGACTACTCTCTACTTATTAATATTTTTTTTATCGATTTGTGTGTTGAAAAATGTTCCGTTTATGATTTTGGGGGATACTTTGGTTCTTAATGGTCTAAATTGAGCTCGGATTTGGCAAAAAAATTGTAAACGCCTCGTTTTGCGTATTAAAAAATGTCTCAATTTGCGTGTTTACGTTTTTAATATGCAAAACGAGGCATTTACGTTATTTTTTTGTCAATTCTGAGCTCAATTTGGTTCCGTATTCCCAAAATAGCCCTTAAAACCTTTAACATAACATTTTCTAACACACAAAACAATAAAAAAAAATATTAATAATTGGAAAGTGGACCCAACTAACGGAATTTGTTAACAGCGGGATAACGGCAAGGTTACTGTATACTTACTACATGTACCTGCGGGTTACAGTGTGGAAAGTGTTAAATGAAGGGGCACAACGTAAAAAAGTGAAATAAGAAGTGTTATTGTGTAGAAAAACCCTTTATTTTTTCTTGTTTAAAAAAGTACACAAGGAGGAGATTATAATACGCTCTAATGGACCTTTACATGTTATGGGCTGTAGACACCTGATTGTGTCTCCTTAAAAATCAAACCTAGTAATGAGTACCTTTCACGTCTTTGATTATCGAGTTAGGTGAGGAGTTGAAGAGTCTCGTGAATTCCCTTTAGCCTTGACCATTTCTATCCTTTCCTTATATGTTTTAAATCAAAATCATTTATTTCGTGTCCTTTAACCAAAATCAATCATTTCGTGTCTTTGTCAATCATTCATTTCGTGTCCTCTTTATAAAACGTCCAAACCAGTTTGTTTTGGTCCACAATCCTAGTCCAATTATTGTGTAGTTGGATGGGGATTGAAAAGAGCTTTCCAACGATATATTATAAGCCCAAATCCGACTTATAACGAAGAAGTCAAGGCCAAAATACTAAACCGAATCCAAACCAAGCCTTACCTACGACCCAATAACCATGTGAAGGGTCCATTAACCTTAACCTCATTCCTAAACCAATTAGGATTTATTAAAACCTTCTAGAATCCTCTAGAAAGATTGTTTTTTATCCTAAATCCCTTATAATTTATTATTAGCTTCTAGAATCCTCTATGGGGTTCTAATTTATCCTGTTTTTAAAAAGATAAAGATTTAAGAGTTTTTCATCGGATAAAACATTTATTTTTCAATGATACTAATCCCAATCAAAATAGAATACGTACGGATATTCGATTAACCCAATCCGATTGGGAATAGAATTCCGTACGGATTCAGTCTTTCCAAAACCCATCGTTGAGCGACAGCACATGGAAACTGTTTTACTTTGATTTGAATTATGACTCTATTCTGATCCTTCAACCCTTTTTATTTCCTTATAAATAGAGGTCGTTTCATCCCATTTTGAATCACCAACAATCATTATCTAATCCTCTCTCTAAGCTAAAAGTTTCACTCTCTCTTCTTTCTTGATTACTAGCCTTAGCCTAAACACATCCCAACACATCCAAACACACATCTTTTGATGCTCTCCCTAAGCAAACACCATACCTCCTTCACGAGCTTTGGATACTCCCAGCCAATCTCGAAATTGCCTTCGACCTCGACGTGAAAGGTTGATAGTTCTGAGGGTTTGGTCCCTAATCTATATTTCAATTTTTATTTGATTTAACCTTTCTTGAAGTTAATAATGTGTGTATTGTTTTGGTAGAAAGTGATACGAGGCATCAAAATAAGTAATTTGATTACTTAGTTATTCTTTCGATATAGAAATCATGTTAGGATGCTTTTGTGATTCCTAATATCATGTTAGGATGTTGATTTTGATTCCTAATATCATGTTAGGATGTTGATTTTGATTCCTAGTATCATGTTTAAGATAATGCTTTGATCATGATTTTTATTAGTGACATACTAGGGTTTGTTTTAATCCGTTTAGTATCATGCCTAGTATCTTACTAATCATGTTTTGATGATTTTTATGATGATGATGATTGATGTGTCAATAATTATGTTTCTTGATTATTCGTGATTGATTGCTATTTCTTCATCACGTCCTTCTTGCAGGTTTAAAGGGAATTTGTATTTGAAATCAAGCCTAATAGGATAATTAATAATTTGATTTAGGCTTAATATTATTTTAATTCAAGTGATCGCCCATAATGGATTTGATTGTGCATTAATAGTCAACCAACATAGATTAAACAAGTTTAGGGCTAACTTGTTGTATGTATGTTGATCGGAAAGCGCACATGAATATCATAAGAATTAAATAGAGGTCGATTTAGGGCGGGTTCAATCTCTTTTAGGTTTGATTCGTACCATCATCTCCGAATATTCAGTCATGGTTCCGGACCATTATGAAGTTAGCGATCTCCGTGATCGTGAATGGGGGTTTAACCTTCACATCTATGAACGGTTTACAAGTTCCTAAAACTTGTTGGCGACTCTTCTATCTCTAGTTTCCTTCCCTTTGGACGCCATCATACTTAAAAGCATGATCACAATGGGGCTCAAGGTTGATTATGAAAAATTCCGTACGTGGGCTTAATTAAAAATCATTGTACAGTGTTGCTGTATAGTGTAATAGTGTATGTTGTGTTGTTTATTTCTATTACCTTTTCCGTTTTTTTTATTTTTATTTTCGCTATAGAGGTGAGTTGTTTTTTAAAAGTTTTGGTTAAAGGAGTTGATTTTTTAAATTTTTGGTTAGAAGAGTGGTGAGATTAATGTGGTGGTTGTGAAAGTAAAGTTATACTTCCTTCGTTCTTTTTTACTTGACCCACTTTGACTTTTACACTATTCACCACCCTTTCCTTGACCGTATTTTGTGAATTATATATAAGGAAAAATATATTTTTATGTGGGATCTTGTTGAAATTGTCTCAATAAGTACTATCACAATATATAATTTTTACTTATAGAGAAGTAAAGTTATTAATGGTTAAAGTTATGCATCGACAAGCGTGATAAAAGAAACAGGTCAAGTAAAAAAGAACAGAGGAAGTAGTTCTGACAGTTAAAAATAACATGATCAAACTTAAAGGGACGGAATAAAAAGGAAAATTGGACAAATATAAAGGAACAGAAGAAGTACATGGTGATTGGGGCAAATTGATATCAATGTATATATGGTCCAATTGAAAAAGGAAACGTGTATGGAAAATCTTGATATCTATATATTATTATCCCATTGTCCATAATATCCATACAAGTTTTTCCCTACACACCCACAAGCCTACAACCTTATGCAATCACTATTAACACCCTCCTCTCCTTTATAATAACATCATCGTATTGCTTTTCATTTTCAAATTACTAAGAAGAGTTTACCCCAGTATGTAAAAATGTTCATTTTTATTGATACAACTTACAATGTTTAAATTACTATGTATCAGAATGAAAAGGAACGTTTATAAATGCGAGAATGTTTTAAGGTTTGATATAGTTCAAATTTAATTAGGTTCCTCTAAAAATATCTTTTTGTTCAGTTATATGACAATAGTTTTTTCTTTTTCTTTTTTTACAACGGTCCAAAAAGGAGGTTAGCTCCCAACATACTCAGGACAAAAGCAAGAAAATTCAAATCTCTTATCCAAACTTATACAAGAGCTAAAAAGGGGATTGAGGTTACAAACGCTATGAAATGTTTGACAATACAAATAAGGGGGCTGAGGATATCCATCACCAGATTTAGTCCTCAGCTGCTCCAAACTTGTTCCCTTGCGATTCTTGATCCTGTAAAAACGACTAGAATACCTTATACCTTTCTTGTTCTTCACCCTTGACTTGATTGGCCTTCCATTTTTTCTTGACGTGGCAGAGAACATGAAGGTGATGAGAGGTGGAGAGGACTGCACTTGATCGGGTTCAACATTCATGGGGTCTTCGTCGTTAGAACCTATATATTCTACTTCATTGAAATCAGTGGTAGTTAAATCTCTCTTAGGTAACTCGCTCCCCTCCTCGATATTCGTACCCTCATTGTTGCTAGAAGCTAGGCTACTAGGTAAATGATCATATAACTTCTCCAAGGCAACGCTGTTGGGCTTGGGAAGTCCAACAACGTGGCTGACCATGGTGGAGTCTAGGGTTCGCTTGGCCTTTTCCATTTGGCCCTTTATGTTGCGAAACCTCTTTTTTTGACCCACCATCCTATTGGGGAAGAGTAATGGTTCGGGAACTTTAGATTCCTTTGCCTAATGGGATTCTGAAAGCCCATCATAAGTGGTCTTTTCCTTCACTCGTTCAGTCATCCATGATGTAGCAGAATGTTTGCAGAAACTCAAGGTTTTCCCTTGACAGAGATTTGAATGAGACAAATCGAAAATCTTAAGGGACTGATTACTTCTTGATCTGTTGAGAAACATATGAAATTTCCTCGGTCCCTTGTCCTTAGCACGTCCAAAATCCTGGTTGATTAGAAAGCTAGCAACATCATCTTCCTCCTTTTCCAAAGAGGTAATAACATTGGATGTAGTGATAAGGCTCTCTACCATCTGAAAGGAATGGTGTCCTTCCAACAAGTGTATTATTCCGATAGAGGGTTCGGAATTATTAGAAAGCTAATTATTCAGTGAGGTCAAGTGATCGGAATGTATAGCTGGATGCCGCTTCCGATCAGTAATATTAATATATAATTAATATTACAGCTTAATCTTGACTGAACCCTTCGAGTCACACCCCAATCAAGTAACAGATCTGAGGCGACGAATCAATTCGAAGGATTAAATGAGTCATTAGAGTATTACGAATGAAGACGTCGGATATCGAGCTTAGA